CTCCGAGCAAGCATTCAGCTGAGACTGAATGTGTATGATGAATTAAAATATTAAGGAAATGCAAGCTGATTGTGGTGGTACCCACCTTTAATCCAACACTCAGCAGGCTGAAGCAGGTGGATCCCCATGCATTTGAGGCCTGCTTAAACTACAAAGTGAGGCTCTGTCTCAAAGAAAAGGTGTCTCTAATAATCCTATAGGGGATCTTCTGCTAGGAGTTCTAAAAACATCAACCAAAAATGACTAGAACAACTTTGGATCCTCGGCAGCATAACTGAGTGCTGTTGGTTATACCACACAGCATCCCTATCATCATCTACTGGTAATCATATTCCTGTTTGTATATTAGCAATCTTGCCTCTCTATGTGTGTATATATAGATATATTGCCCTCCCCCAGTGCTAGGGCTTGAATCCAAGGCCTTCACACCAAGCTACATTCATAGCACCCCCCCCTTTTATATATTTTATTTTGGAACAGCGTCTCATGAAGTCACAAAGTTGCTCAAGCTGGGCTCAAAATTGCTGTCCTCCTACATCAGCCTCCCACAGTGCTGGAAATACAGGCATGCACCACCCTGTCCAGCACCATCTGGCTATTTTTAGAGCTCTGCTCATTAGAATTGGGTGGGTATCCTATGATTCCCTTCTAGGAAAGTCTGAGAAATTCTGTGACTCAACAGCATTATTGAGTTTCAGTTTATTGTTGTCAGAGGCATTACTCATGTCTGCAAGAATTACTTCAGATTGCAACGGATATTTTGTATCTAAATCATGCAAAGTTTCTAAACTTTTCTGGTTTCAAAACTTCTCCATCAGGCAGTACATGCTCATCATCCCAGCTACTGAGGAGGCTGAGGCAGGAGGGTCTCATTCAAGGTCAGTCTAGATGCCTTAGTGAAACCCTGCCTCAAAATAAAAAAATACAAAAATTAAAAGGGTTGGGGACATAGCTCAGCGCTCCCTGGGTTCTATCCTCAGTATGAAAAGAAGTCTTTCTTTTCTTCTCTGTAGTCATTGTGGGAATAGAAGTAGAAGCTCTTCCTCCACCCTCTGCATTCCAGGAAGTTTGGATTCTGAGAGAATGCCAAGTTTTCTTCTCTGCTAGAAACTTCCTCATGCTTCTTCCTAGGAGTTTTTTCTCTTGCTGAATGCTGGTCATGACTAATTTGTCAGAAACCACCACTACCCAGTCTGTTATCCTCATGGAACTGAGCACAGTCTGATTCTTGGGGTGGGAGGGTAATTTGGTTGTTTGATTTTGGTTGTTTTTGTTTTTGTTTTCTGGTCCTGGTGATTGAACCAGGGCCTCACACGTGCTAGGCAAACACTCTACCCCAGCTCATCCCCAGCCTGCAGTGACTCTGAGCTTGAAACCCCTTTCTTATTTTACACATTTACACGGAAGCCTTCAGCATTATGAGTGACTCCTGTGGAGCTGTCTAGAAACCCTTCAAGTCCCCTCCTGCTTCAAGCTTTAAGGATCAAAGCCCTTTTGGTTTCACAAATTCGGAGACCTCAAGGCGGTAGGAAACAAGGAATCCCCTGAGATTCTCCATGTGCCTTGACAACTAACTTGTAACCATTTGTCAAGTTAATTGCTTTCCTGAAAGGATAATACATAACTCTTCTTTCCTTGGGGGGAGGGGGAGGGTGACAAAAAGCTGCTGCCCAGCTGTGGTCCGCAGGTCAGGTCCCAGAGGTGCTTGGAAGACTTCCGGGTCCCCAGGCGGTTCCATGGCAAAGCGAGGAGGGTTGGGACCCTGAGCACCTCTAAGTGGCTAATAGGAAACATTTGGGGTCACCCACCCAGTGCCTGCGAAACTTTACACTCTCATGCACTATAGCCGGGTTGGGGCTTATGTGTCCAGAGACACTCTTCAGGAAAGGAGGCGGTGGCCACCTCCTTTCGTTTTCTAAGCAGGGGAAGTGTCCAGTACAACACTCCTGGGCAGCACTATGGCCTGGAAAGGAGAGGGCAGGGCGATGTGTTATTACGGTGCTTACTTTAAGGTAATGAACAGGAAACCTGTCTCGGATCCAGGATACACACGTGTGCATCCAGGACAAAATGAATGAAAAGTAGTGTTGCAACTACACAGGGACTGTGGACCCGACGAGTTCCCCTCCGCCAATCATGACCAGCTTTGGAGAAGAGCGGGGCGGGGCGTCCAATCAAAAGCCTAGTCCCGCCTCCCGGTGTTGGGATGCCCGAGACTTCTAGCAAAGCGGGCTGCAAGCCTAATTGGGCAGAACAGGAAAACTCAGTTTTGGATACCTAACTTAGCTCCTTTTTGTTTTCTTCACTGGAAATAGGTAAACACTGTCCCACTGGGCTAGATCGCCAGGCTACACATGAGTTTCTTTTTAGCAAAGATAAATCTCAAATACTATGTGGGACATACATTTTAAAAATCCATTGTTATTTGCTTGAAATTCAAATTAACTATGTGGTGAGACAGGGACCACCACCTTGTAACAGAAGGCTGAGATGACCAAATAAGCTCTTGAAGGTAATGAACCACCACCTTTTGCAGCTGGGGTGTTTTAAAAAACCATCATGTGATAGAACCACAAAAGCAACATGTTTGCACCAAATGTAAAAATTGTTACCTAGAAAACAAAACAAAATTTAAGTAAGCCCTCTAGCTTCCCTTGCTCTTGTCAACCTCAAATCACTAATTTCAGAGGTCACCCTGCTGGGCAATGCATTCCCAGCCCCCCACAGAGTAGACAGCATCTCTGACTGTGGGTTATGACACAGGATAACGGTTGCCTGGGTTACTTCCCAGCCATGTGAAGCCCACTTTTTTTGAGAACAGTGGCTCTCCCTTGGGCATGTGGGTGTCTCATGGGTGACTGAAATGAGACAAGGGCTCAGCATCTCTGTCTTCATACTGTGTCTGGCCCCTTCGCAGACTTAACCCTTGAGACAGACTCTGCTCTGCTCAGCATGTGACACATTATTGATCATTGAAGAAATGACCCAAGAGCTTGGCCTGTCACCCACTGGAGCTGGTGGTGTGTTTCTTCCACCCCATCCTGTGCTTCCTCAGCAGCTCAAACATGGAAAGTTCTCAACCATGTCACAAGGCCAGGACGTGTATACAGATGACAATTCCAGCTGCAAGCATAACTCAGCAGCTCCCAAGTGAAGCTACCTCCTGCGAGCCTGCCAAGTACGAGGCTGTGGGCAGGGAACGCAGAATGAAGGCACCAGGTACAGGAAAATCCAGCAGCTCTGGGAAGAGTTGCCCATGCCATCGCTGGTCCAAGCCCATCACACAGAGAAACGTCTTTTAAAACTCTGGACCTGAGTGATGGCAATTATTGGATTTTGGTCCATCGTAGCAAGTTAATAAACACCTGCTGCTCTCATTCTGTGAGCAGCAGCTTGGTTTCTCTGTAGAGTACTTGCTGGCTCCTTTTGGACAAAGCCATAATTCCGCTAAAGCCCCTCATGCTCCCCTAAAAAAGCTCTACCTATGCACAAGTGTACGCTGGTGATACTTGGCCCAGTCTCATTTCTGGGATGTCTGGGTCAAAAGATCCCATCATCCCTTACCAATGGGACATTCTATATTTTTATTTGCTAAAATCCAAGCTCTAGGCCACTCACTCTGGGTGTGAATTTTAGTCTAACACAGGCAGTTGGTTTCTATTAGAACCTCATTAAAACCAAGCCAGACCAGTGTCAAACACCTCCTCAGCCTGTCAGAGAGCATGCTTTGTCCAGACTTTATGGCGCTCTTCCGTAGTGAGTGACACCGAAGGAGTAGCAATTTGTACAGTGCTTACACAGAGAAAGAATTTTTTTTTAAGTATTAATTGAGCAAATGACTGAAAGCGGCCCAACTAAAGAGACCCTGCAGGTTAGCAGCAGAGGGAGATGGTGGCCTGCTGGGGGCTTGTCTGTCAGCTGTTTCCATCTCTAGCAACAGTACAGATTCCCAGGGAATAAATCTTTTTGCTTGTTTTAAGTTTGAATCCCTCATCTGTAATTTGGCTCTGATCATTTCCTTCCCAATCACCTTGCAGCAGCTGCCATGGTGGCCAAGACTGAGAGACAATACTCTCCCCGTCGTCCCAAGTCACAACCACTTTTGTTCTCAGTGAAGATCAGGAGGTGGCCTCCATGTAAAGAGGATCATGGAGGAAGAGGCTTTGTGACTGAGTCCCTCTCAGGGTGAGGCGGGGGCTGGAGAAGTCTGTGGGAATGAGTCTTGATGCACAAGTTCATCTCCCTTAACAAAGCCCTCTCTCCTGCAGGCTGACCATCCACAGGGAGGCGCTTGGCTTTGATCTTGGTCAAAGCTGCCCCTCTTCCCTACTGAGTTTCATCTGATGTTTGCATTTAGAAACCAAGGCATATTTTTAAAGATGTTCTAGCAGAAACCAAGTGCCCGTGCTAGACTAAGTCACACCCAGACTGGGTGGCCTGAATCATGGAGTTTGAGTGGGAGTGGTTCTTTTTTTTTTTTCCTTTTTCTTTTAGTGGTTCTTTTAGCCTTTGCACTGAGCTACACACTCAGCCCTTTTCTTAAATTTTTTTGTTTTTAAATTTTGAGACAGGGTCTTGCTAAATTGTTAAATTACTCATTCTCTTCCCTCACCCTTCCGGCATGCTGAGACTACAGGTGTGCACCACCATGGCCAGCTGTTTTCATTTTATGGATGAGGTCACCGAGGCTTAGAGAGGCCATAGAACAAACTGAATGGGGCTGGGGAAAGTGTGAGCAGCTTGCTTGCTGAGACCCCATGAACAGAGATACAGAGAGAGGCTGAGAATTTAAGATCTGAGCCCTTAGAATCCTAGGATCATGGAGGTTTGATAAAGGTATTAGCTCCACCAGAGGAATGCAGAATGGATTACAGCCCTGAGGGCATAAATGGGAGGTCAGTCCAGAGCCAGAGCCAGAGCCAGGAAATTCACTTAGTATCTCTCACAAAGGTGGCGTTACGCACGGGCAGTTTTAAAAATGAATCCACAAGCCAGGAACATTTTTCTAAATACTTTTAATTAAAATGCATTGTAATACAAAAGCCCAAGTGTACATAAAGCATTCACGTTTACTAAGAAAACAGATTAAAATATTCCCGGTAGCTGAACACATTTTGATAATGAATTTTTAAACAGCTTCTTGGTTTTAATTTTATTTAAAATATTTACTATATAGTTTTTAAAAACTTGCTATTCATTTTCTACCAAAATGTAGGACACACTGAGACATTTTAAGGGAGATTCAACCCACATAACTGCAGGTCTTGTTTCAGTGCAGAATTAGAGTATTTCTCAGCAATGCTATTCCTGCTTCCACGACCCACCGGCTCCATGCAATTTGGAGAATAATATCATCCTCAATTCAATTTACCTACTATCTCGGCTTTGCAAATGTGCTGAATTTAATGAGATAGCTCACTGAAATTAAGACACAGCTAATCTTACGTCAAAATCAATTTTCCAGGACAATTCTTGGGAACCACAAGAATCTCTCACTTTATGTAACAAGCGGGATACACTGAGAGACTGATATCTAAATGAAAAAGTGCATTCACATAAAAATATATTCCTTATAAAATAGGATCTCATGGTGAAAGTGCATAGAAACATTTTGCCATCTATAAAGGGCAGTATGCTTACTTTATAGGAATATCTGGAACACTAGCTACAATTGGAAGTACTCTCTACTCCTGGGTTTTAGAAAATGTGATGCAAATATGGGATTGACAAATGGAATTGTGAGGGGGAAAACATCTGCCTAAATTCCCAGACTTCCCAATTTAAAAATAGCTTGTATAATAGGAAACAGGGAGATAAATCTTTACAAATAGGAAGGAGACCAAGAGATGGAGGAAGGGGAAGAGGAGGTAAAAGAATTAAGATGTGTTACATGCACATACCAACGCCCCATAATGAATGTAATCATTATGTACTGCAAGCATATACTAATAAAAATAAAAAATGTGTACCAATTATGTCTATGCAAGCTTTTTTTCTTTCCAGTTCTAGGGATCAAACCTAGGGCCTTGCACATGCTTGATGAATGCTCTATTACCGAGTTTTTCCTTCTTGTATATGATTTTTTGATTGCAGCATTATTTTTGTTTTGGTGGATTTTTGTTTGGTTGGGGTTTTTTTTTTTGAGACAGTGTCTTGCTATGTAATTCAGTTTAGGCTGGTTTCAAACTCACAGCACTCTTCTAGCCTCAGCCTTCTGAGTGCTGGGAATAGGTGTGTACCACTACCCCCATCTTGCAGCATTATTTTTAACAGCACAAGACTGGAAACAGTCAAATACCCGCTAGTGGCGGAGTGGTTTAAATGTCATGATACAATGGGCTGGATTGCAGTCATGAACAAAGAAATATATCCTTTAGGTAGTCACAGGGAATATAGTAATCACCAAATAGATTAAAGGGAAAATAATAGTGGCTCTAGTATGTATTACAAAGGCCGTTTTAAAAAAAAAAAAAAAAAAAAAAAGGCCAGAGCAGTGGCTCTCACCTGTAGTCCCAGCTACTGGAGAGGCTGAAGCAGGAGGCTCGCTTGAACCCAGGAGTTCAAGGCCAACCTCGGGCAACACAGTGAGATCCAGTCTCAAAAAACGGTCTTTTACAATTGAGTTGCCAAAATTCTTTATAAGTTTTGAATACTAGACTCATATGATTTACAGTTATTTTCTTCCATCCTGTACTTCATCTTGTTTCCTTTTGGTGCATCCAATTTTAAATTTTGTTCATTTTACCTAGTGTTTTTTGTTTGTTTGTTTTTGCTTGTGCTTCTGATGACCTATCTTAATGTCCTGCCAAATAAAAGGTTGTGAAGACTTTAAAAAATAAGGAAGTAGAATAAGGAAGATTATACATCTTTCCTTCAGTTAGCAAAGTCTCTCTGAAAGGGTACAGAAAAAGCTGCTGACTGTGCTTATCTCGGGGAAGCCACCAAGGAAGCAGGACGGAGAGTTTTTAGCGAGCATCCATTTGTACCCATGTAAATATATTATTACACGGGTACTTGTGATATTAAATTAACAAAAACTATTTAAAGGAGTAAAGTAATAATGGGAATCATCATTACATTCAATTCTCCAGACCAAGCAAGCCAGCAAGAGCTAGACAAAGCTATTCATCACCCCGGGATGTGGAATTGCTTAGGCCAACTTGGGAACTCCCAAATTGTTTAATTTTCTTCCACCCTGGGGATGAATTTTTTTTTTAAATTGATGGGCAAACACACAAAGCCCTTAAAAGTCACTGGAGCAACTGCCAGCTCCTATGATTTTATGGAATAAGGCCAGGCACTCCTGGAACTCCAGGCCCTTTGCTGCCAGTGGAAACAAATGTCTCAATACTAGTTTTCATCTTTAATCATTCCCTCCCCCAAGAGCCATTCAGGATGTAAATAAAACCCTCTTAATATACATTCACGCCTGGATACTGCTTTCTCCCGGAACTCCACCCCCATCACAAAAGTTGGCCTGCAGAAACTTTAGGGAGTTGAAGTGGTGTCACATCTGTGAGATCCCATCTTCCAGGATTAATCAAAGTGTTCTCTCTAGCAAGGATGTCAAAAACAACCCTGTTGGCAATGCAGGGGGCTTTGCAAGTGACAAGTCAGAGTCACTTGCTTCTACAGGACTTCAAAGAGCTGCAGCTGCTTGCTAATAAACCCATTTCTATCCTGAGAAGATGGTGTGGGATGGAACTGAAAGGAGCCAGGGAAGCTAAGCGCTGACCACCCTAGGAGCCTCATGTCCCTCACAGCGACTGCCAGCCAAAGACTTCCGTGGCCCATGCTCACTCAGGCAGCACAGCCGTCTCCCGCAGCACAGCTGTCTCCTGTGGACTGGTTCCTGTTTTTGCAGCCCCGAGAGGACTCCTGCGGGGCATCCCCTAGCCTTGGCTCCTGCAACAGAGCTTCCTGTGGTGTCAAAGCCCCCTGCCTGCTCTCTGCCTAGGAACTTTGAAAGTGGAAAGTGATTTTATTTTTAAGAATAGCAACCGTCCAGGAGACCTGGGGTCCTCCGGCAAGGGTGGGAGCTTGGGGGGCACCAGGAGGCAGCCTGGGCAGAGGTGGGCTGGGCCTCACTCTGCCTCAGCCTCCTTCTCTTCCTGCATCGTCTGCTCCACAGACAGCGTCTGCTCGCTGGGCTCCGGGCTCACGCGGATCTGCACCGAGGGCTCCTCTGTGCCCATAGCGGTCACCTCCCCGCCGCCCTCGGTCTGCTCTGTGGAGGCTGGCGGCGGTGAGCGAGGGGCTGGTGGACCTGGTGGCTCCTGGGGATCCTGGGGGTCTTGGGTTTCCTGGGGCGCAGGCTGGTCCGGGGCAGCCTCAGAGGGGGCCACGGGCTGGTCTGTGGTGGCCTCCCCTGCCGCTTCCTGTGTACTTTTGGCCTGAAATCCAGAAAAGGTGACTGGTGTGAGACACAGAATGTCTGGTGGGGGGGGGGGGTCTTAGCCATCTCTGTTTACATGTTTTTATTTTTTCTATATTGTGGATCGAACCCAGGGCTTTTACAGTGAGCTACATCTTCAGTCCTTTTTAATTTATGTATTTATTTATTTTTGAGACAAGGTCTCTCTGTGTCACTAATTTGCCCAGGCTGAGCTGGAATTTACAATCCTCCTGTCTCAGCCTCCTAGAGTGCAGGGATTACAGCCAGGTCTTGCACTCCCAAAGAAACCAGTGAAGTGCTAGGGATGAAAATCTGCTGGATTGTAGCAGCAGCATCAGAGTTGTTTTGGGAAAATAGAATAAATGATGGAAGGTTTTGGGAGGAAGTCCCAGCTGGGCATGGTGGGAAGCCTTGAAGATGTCTGAGATCTCTGATGAGCAGTGGGGCGGTTGTCTGTTCAAGGGCAGAGCCTTGATCCTGAGCTACTTAGGGAAGTAACCATAAGGGAGGGCCAGGATGGTCTCTCAAAGGCTGACCCATCCTGTGCGCCCACTCCTGCAACCAGGAATGGGTGGTCCTGGAGTGAACAAGAAAAACTCTAAGCACTTGGGGTGCAGGGTGACACAGGCAAGGCCCCAGGGAGGGAGATCCTCCAGGGAAGACTGGGCTTAGATGGCACTTATTTACAATGAGCCCAGTGGGCAGCTCCAGCCTCTAGCGTGGGCCTCACAGAGGCCAGGTGTGTACGGCTGCAGGAGACCCGGCAAAGGAGCCCAGGTTTGTGAACCTCTGTGGCTCTGCCTGCCCTGTCCAAGCCATCTCCACGTGGGAGGAGCTGGACAGGGGGCAGCCGCCAGGGAACCAGGCAGAGGGGCCCTCAGCCACCCAGACCCATTGCAGGTGGGGCTGTGAATGTACAGAGGGGCAGGCAGCATTCGAGGATGGAGACTCCCGCAATATACTTAACTCACAGGCTGCTGCAGGAAATTGTGGGGAGACTCAGGACAACTCCAGGGCCCCTGCATCTGCAGCTTCTGCATGTCTTCGCATGCCTGTTCCACTCTGCCCTGTGCTCCCTAAACTAGGACAATGCCCTTCCAGGGCAGGATGCTTGGATGGGAGTTCTGGGAGCACTTTTCTATGAACAGAATCAAACTGTGATGGGGAAGCTACAGACAAGCTTTGCTGTGTCTCCAGTGCTTTCTAAAACGTAAGTCAGCCTGCCTGAACTTTGGGACACCACATAGTAACTAGGAGTAACCTGGGTCTCTGAGAGCTTGGGGTCTACTTCAGGGCTACAGAGCCAGCCCGTGACAGAGTTGGGATTTGGACTGGTGTCTTTGGACTTCTAGGTAAGAGCTCCTTGCACTCTGCCATTCCGCCTGCCTCTTCTAAGTGGCAGGGGAAAATGCCTTTTATTGGAACACTCATGCAAATTTAATTCAATCTCAGTGATGAGCAGCACTGAGGAGCGACAGTCCCATCTCAGCTACAGCTTTTCGCTGATCTCACAGTACTCTTTCTCTGCTGGGAGGAGATGTTAGACACAGGTCTGTGTAGTTCACGCTGGCCTTGAACTCACCACGTAGGCCAGGCTGGTCTCAAACATTCAGCCATCCTGCCTCGGCCTGGGGAGTACTGGAATCCATAGGCATGCAAAGCCATGCCTGGCACTGAGGGTGCTTTTGGAGATAATCCATGAGCGTACACAGAGGCCAGCACTAAAGACCCCAACCTCCTGGCTGAACTGTGACCTTGACAGTTTGTGAGCCAAACAATGTTGACTTCCTTGGTCTGGGGCCAGGGGTGGCCAGATGTGGAAAATAGCTGGGAATCCCAAGTTGTTTTGACATCACCAGATTCCTGCTGTCCTACGACCCCTGGCTGGGTCCCCTGGGTCTCCTTGGCACCAGCGTGGACTGAGGTTAGGTTCGCTGACCTCCTTTGAACTCTTTCATCTAGATTGACAACCGCTCCTCCAAACAGTTCTGTCCCTGAACACCTGCCTGTCCCCAGCCCCGTCCTCACTGGCAGCCTCCCTCAAGGACAGTCATGAACAGACATAATTAGTGCAATTATTCTAATTAGCATTCTTGACTTTAGTCACAGAAAAAAGTCCCAGGACTAATTTTGATGTTCCCAATAGTGTTGGGGGAGAGGGTTGGCTCTATGGTTGGTTGTGAGATTTTTCCCTTCAAGTCTTTTACATTGTCACAGACAGTATTAAATAGGAGAACATCACTGTTGCCAGGGAAGGGACATTCCCTGCCCACACTCTGTCCTCTGAGCTCTGTAACAGCATCCAGACTTCCTGTTGGGATTCTCCTCTCCCTACTCCCATGTGAGTAGGGAGCTTGTGACCCATGTGACCCAGGCCTCCCAGAGCCCAGAAGTCACTTGGTGACACTGAATGGCTCTGGAATAGGCATTTGACCCAATTCTGGCCATGACAGTGAGTCTGGACACTTTTACTGGAATCTCTGGGAAGAGAGACTTTCTGTTAGACTTGCTATACCAGGAGGCTGTGATCAAGGGGGCCCGCCTGGAAGTGGAGCCATCAAAAAAGAAATAGACATGCAAAGATGACAGACTGGGAAAACCAGTCCTACTGGCCACCTTTGGGCTTTGATTGATGCACTGATAACATGCTGGTGAGGACAGAGTTCAAAAAGCTCCGGCACCTAGGCCAGGCAAGTGCTCTGCCCTGCAGCCTCCTGGGCTTCTGGATTCAGCCTTCTCTGAATTTGTCAGCCATTGGATTCCCAACTTCCTCACTTACTCAAGCTAATTAGAGCTTGCACTGGGTCACTTGTAATCATGTAAGTCCCGCCTGCTGCAAAGCAGGGGACAATAGTCCCTAAGACTGTGGTCCACTCAGAGTTCTTCCTCCTCCTTGTCCTGAAACTGAAAGGGACAGGATGCTGGGGTCCCTACCACATTACCTGCTCCAGCAACTGCTGTTGCCTGGCAGCAGCCTCCAGCGCAGCCAGTTCCTTGAGCCGGGCCCGGAGGAGGGCAAGCTTGCCACCTTTGCCCCCCTTGCCCATCTTGCCTGCCGCAGCCAGGGCTGCGTTGAAGAGCTTGGGGGTGCCAGCCCGTGGCGGCAGGATGAGCACACTCTTCTGTTCCTTGGGCTTGTTGTTGTTTTTCAGCATGCGCCTGAAAGACAGCAGCCCTGGTATCAGGGGAGAGCTCCATCCAGACAGAACCCAGGTGCCAGAGCGGGATGCTGGGGGCGGTTGTGGGTGACAGGTCTCTGTGGGTGACAGTGTGCTCTCTGGGTAGATCAATCAATCAACCACCGTGTGATGGGTCTCCTGTCTGTACCCAAACATTGAAGCTCAGAGAGGCTAAGCACACTGGGTGAGCACAGGGGCTCGGAGAGCTGAGGAACCTCTGAGCTCACACAGAAGGGCGCTGCTGTGCTGTGTGTGTCCCCAAGGCTTTGTGCACTGAGAGCCTGGTCCTCAGCATGCTGTGGTTGGGCGATGGGGAATAGGGCTAGAGAAATCACTGGGTCACTGAGAGCACGCTTGTCAGAAAAGATGGATATAGCTCTCTGTCTTCCTGTTGCCAGGTGATCTCCCTGTCCAATGAACTGCCACCGCAATGCCATGTGCTGTGGGGTCCTCAAGCCAAGCTCGGTGCCATGCCCTTGCCCCTCCAGAACAAACTTCCTTTCTTTATAGAGGACTTGGCCTCAGGTAACTCTTTTCTATTGTTTTTTCCTTTCTTTCTTCTTCCCCCCCCCCCTTTCTACCTGCTGGGAATCAAACACAGGGCTTGGCACACACAAGCCAAGCCCTCTCCCACTGAGCTGCACCTCCAGCCCCAGGAACTTAAATATAGACTCAGAAGTGGGAGGCCCAAGTGGAAACGCACACAAACTGGTTTCCTTCTGCTTCATTGTCCTTTCTCGAGGGTCACCAATGTCAGCACGAGTCTCTGAGCCCTTCACAGACACCCTGGATTCCTGCCCCACTGTGTGAGGCTCTCACTTCTGTGTGATCCCCTCCCCTAAAGGGTGGATATGACATGTGTGACAGTTAACTAACAGAACACAACGTGACAGCCACAGAGGACTGTAGTCACTGGCTGAAGCAGCCAGCCACACTGCAGGACACCAGGGAGAAAGAGCCGTGAAGGCCCCTGACCCACGGCCAGTTAGGAACAAGGTGCCAGTCCTACAGCTGCACCCAGATTCTGCTGGCACCAATTGGTCTTGGGAGCTGGTCCTTCCCCCATGAAGACTTCTGATGAGTCCATCCTTGGCTGATAGGTTGGTGATAGCCAAGGGTCTGGACCATAGAGGGTTCAGCTAAGCCATCCTGAGCCACAAAAACCAAGATAGCAAATGTGTGTGGTTACAAGGTGCTAAATTGATTGAGACATTGTTACCCAGCAGTCCATAACTAATACACATCTATATTCTCAATGAAGCCTCGCCACAATCCGCACAAGTAATCTTACTATTCACGTCCACTTTTAAATGAGGATATGGAAGTCCAGAGGGTGTGAGTAACGTTCCCAAGGTCACATAGCTAGGACACAGTACAGCTGGAATTCAAACTCATATTTGTGATCCCCACACTCCAGATCTTAATGTTTCAGGGCAACATCACAGTCACTACCTTCTTAGATGCAGACAGTACTTCTGTGACATAGAAAGGACTGGGATTACTGTGGCCCTTACAAGTTGGGGAAACTGAGGCTCAGAGCACAGGGGAGTAACATGCCCAAGGTTGTCAGAAAGCAGCAGAGACAGAATCACAACCCAAACCGACGAGCACTGTACCATTCGTTTTTCTAAACCAGGACAGTTTTCCACCAAAAGAGCTCCCACATTTCATATGGAATTTTTTATTTCTTCTCTATGAATATGTGATGAGCAATTTGGCGCAAGAACAAATGCGTTTTGTCTGCAGTCTAATGGCCTAGACTGCTAATTGGCAAGTTCATTCATCAGGGTTCCAGCAGAACTTGTTTGTTTAAAAATGCGCCTGTTACCAGCTGCTTATCTAATCAGAGGCAATGGGCTGAAATTGCACGTATTGATATTAATTACCGGAGATTTGCATTTTCTCGCTGCGCTTCCCAGGAGAGCATAAACATGGTAATTCATCAGGGGCCTCTTAGACACCAGCCCCGCAGTGTCACCTGTGTTATTGGACTCCATCATTCATGGCATGACAGTTGTGGGGAGGCTCCATGTGGGACAAGGAAACAAGACAAAAGCGCTGTCCGCAGGGCCTCTGCTGGTTGCTAGTGGCTGTCTCTGGGTTGAAACACTGAGCCGGCTTCTGGGAGGTTTCCATATTAAAGACTCCTCTTCATTTTTATTTTACTCTTTATTAATTTTGTTTGTTTTGACACAGGCTCTCACTATGTAGTTCAGGCTGGCCTTGAACTCACCGTGTAGCCTGGGCTGCCCTAATCTCATGGCAATCCTCCTACCTTGGCCTCCTGAGTTCTGGGGTTGCAGGTGAGCTACATCACCATGCTCAACTTTCTCTTTCATCTTCAGATGATGCACAGTTCTCTGTGGTTAGGATCCTGCATCACCCAGAGAACGGGGCAGGCACAGGCTTTTTCATCTCTCTATGCAGTGACCAAGTCAGAAACTGGGGCATTTCACTTTTGGGGGCCTCAGCTCCCTATTTTTAAAGTGGAAATGTTAGACAGAATCCCATGGTGGGGTGGCCTCACCAACTCAGATGTCCCTGGTCCCTGTCTTTCTCAGCTTCTCTCCTTGAATGGCAGAACTCACACTCAATTCCCACTCCCCTCACCAGCGCCTCAGCCCTCTGCAGCCTGGGCAGATTCAGGGCATCTTCTGGGTTAGGGGTTTGTGTGCTGTTTTGGGGGCTCTGTAGGCTCCCACTTAATCCAGGTCAGGGGCAGAAACAAAAGCAGGGATCTGGCAGCAGTTTTCAGACATCAGCAGGTGAATCTCATGACCAACTATAATTGTCTTCTGTAAGATCCTTGCAAACACTAAGGTAGCAAATCCAGGACCATCGCTCCCAAGGATACACGGGTGACGCTCCCATAGGCCTCGCTCCACCCTCCAGTGCTAACCCGGCCCTGTGCGCTTCTGTCCCAGGTCACCTTTTTCATGTACACAGTTATTATCACTAAGATTTACTTCTTTGTCTCTGTCTTTGTCTTTCTTTCTTTCCCTCCTTCTATTTGTCCTGGGATGGAGCCCAGGCCGCTCGCTCATGCTAGCCAATCATTCTCCCTCTGAGCTGCCACTCCAGCCCCACTTCATGGTCAGCAACTGCCCAGCCAGCAGCTGGTGACTCAGGCCTGCACGGCACGTGTCACACACACTTTCTGCGCTCGCACAGCATAGGCTTCTTGTGCTGGGGACATGAGACAGCACTTTGACCCTCTGCTTGGGGCCACTTGAAACACAAAATCACTGAGAAGAGGCACAATAACATAAAACATTGGCACTAACCAGACTGCAGAAGACTTCTGTGTGCAGCGGCGAGCTGAACTGAGGGCCGTGTGCCTGGCGGACTCCGGTCGCGACTGTGCACTGGGCCAGCCCCGCATCTGGCCACTCTGCATGTCTGTAAATGGCCACAGAGGCCTCACTATACACTGACCTTGGGGCCACAAATGCATTTGAGTGAAGAGAATTTGCAAACCTGGATCCAGTGAAGAATGAGATGTACTCTACTCCCCGGCCCTTGGAGGCTGACGCTCATAAATGACAGGACAGGGACAGTGGGTGGTGTTACGGGAAAAGGTCTCATGGACAGAGCTTTGGTGGGGTCCAGTGGGCTTTCCAAGAGCAGTCAGGCTAGCTGAGGCACAGGAGAGCAACCTTTCCCAGAGGACCGCAGGGCCGTGTGTGTGAGGCTTCAATACCAACACTACCTCCCTTCACCTTGCAGCTGCAAAAGGATGGTGTAAAAGCCTAAACCACACCAAGACCCTCCTCTGTATAAAGCCCTGCATGACTCCCACATCCTTCAGATAAAGCCAAAGCCACGAACAGTCCCTAACTACAAGGGATCTTCTTCTTCACTTCTCTGACCCCCATGCCAAGCTAAGCAAATTTTTATCTTTTTGAGACAGGGTCTCTGTATGTAGTTCAGGCTGGAACTCACAGCAGTCCTCCTGCCTCAGCCTCCCGAGGCAGTGCACCACCACACCCAGCAGCACACCAGTGTCCTCAGTGTTCCTCTGAACACATCAAGCCTGCTTATTCTCAGGGCCTTTGCTCAAGGGCTCCCTCTGCCTGAAAAGCTTTTCTCAGCTCAGCCTCTGGGGTGAACTTGACAAAGGAGTGAACCGTTAAACTCAGGGCAAAACGCACTCGGGCTCTGTGAGGAATGCAGTTAAGCAACAAGTTTTGATGACTGAAACCGCTGTGTCCAGTCACTGTCCGTCCCCTTCCCCCAAGAAAACTGCCTCTCCTCGAGACAGCCTTGCCCAAACTGCTTCTCTTCTTTCTCTCTTACACTGATATTCTAAAGAAAAGCTGAGGGCTCTCAGCTGAGGTGCCACTCCTGGGAGCTTCCCTGCACTGGGTGCTCTCCTCGAGACAGCCCCTCCGGGCTCTCTGTGACTGAACCGTCCCGTCCCTCGGCCACCCCTGCCACTGACTTCCACTCTGTGCAGGGCTCGGCTGAGGTGCCAGCGTCTCAGAACACCCCAGCCAGCTTATCTCAGCTACTTCCGTCCCCTGGTCCCCTTTGTAGCTGTGTCTTCTCATAGTCCTTATCCTGGCTGAGGCTTTCCACAGTGGCTCACTTTAATCCCCCCCATTCCCCAGCTAAAATAATCTGTTATTAAGTTGCCCAGGTTGAGTCTGAACTGGGGATCTTCTTGCTTTAGCCTCCCTGAGTGCTGGGATTACAGGCATGCACCATCCTGCCGTTATGGTATTGGGTCATAAAATAAAGTAGAAAACAAGAATATGTAATAAAAAGGTAAAGGAAAACTCAATATGTGGGTCAAAAAGTAATCCCAGCACTCCAGCAGGCTGAGGCAGGAGGAGCTCCAGTTCAAGTCTAGCCTGGGCAACTTTGTGATTTAGGGAGACCCTGTCTCAAAATAAAAATTTTAAAAAAGGACTGGGGATGAGGCTTAGTGAAAAGTCCCTGGGTTTAGTCTCCAGTTGGCTTTATCCAACTGGAACCTTTTAGGGATCATCTGATGGATAAAGAGGAATGTGAAGATTATTAACATGTAATGAGTTCCCCAGAGTCCTGGCACCTACAGGACACATTCCCATGCTCTATTTTTATTTGTTGTTTATTTATTTGAGATAGAGTCTCACTATACAGTGCAAGCTGAACTTGAATTCACTTTGTAGCCCAGGCTGGCCTTGAACTCACATCGATCCTCCTGCCTCAGCCTCCCAAATGCCGGGATTACAGGTGTGTGTCACCACACTCACATCCCAAGTTTTATTTTATTTTATCTTCACAACAGCAAAGAATAAGGTGGCTACCTATACCTACAAAAGGGAAACCAGAAAATTGAAGTAACTTTTTGAAAATCACATAGCCAGCACCTCATATAGAAGGCATTTGAGCTCATTCGGCTTCTCAAGCCCACTATGGGTTTTCTGCCACACGCGTCTTGGTTGCTTAATTTGAAATCTGATCTTAAGGACTGGAAAGAAGATCCTGCTTTTCTAAAGTATTGCCTGTTCCCCTTCAACTCAGAACACAGCTATAAGAGGTTATTCAGAGCAGCTCCATTTGTAACAACAAACCATTAGAACAGGTCACCATCTTGAGCACTGAGAGAGGCTGGTGGCCAGGATTTATTGTCTGGTGAAAACATCGAGGTGCAAAAAGACCCTGGGGTGTGCTCCCCGATGTGTGAGGGAAGGAGGACGCTGGCAGAGGGAAGCTTTGCCTGTCCTTACAAAGTGAGCACAGGGAGGAGAAGGCGGAAGCTAGAGACATCAGTCACCTTCAAGGTAGTGGGGGGGGGGGCGCCTGATACTCCTCTTACTGCCTTATTTGGTAGAATTTCAACTTCTAGGAACCCGTTAATGTTTTACATCCTCAAAATAAAACAGCAACAAATCACCCAACAGCATGGTGGGAAGCTTTCAGTGGGATACAAGATGATGCGAAGGAACCCACCTGTATTTTAGATGGACAACACAACCCTGTGAGAGGTGGGGGGATGAGGGAGCTATCCCAAATAATTTTTTTTTGGTAATGATGGTACTGGGCAGGGAAACTAGGCCCTCCTTCCTCATATGAGGCAAATGTTCTGTTGCTGAAATACATGCCCTGTCCTTTTTAGGTACCCTAGGCTGGCTTGCAGCTGTGATCCTCCTGCCTTAGCCTCTTGTGTGGCTGAGATGACAGACATGTACCATCAAGCACAGTTGAAGACTTTTCTTTTTTTTTTTTTTTTTTTTATCGGTACCGGGGATCGAACTCACGACCACCTGCTTGCAAGGCAGGTACGTATGCCACTGAGCTAAATCCCCAGCAACAATGATAATTCTTAAGTTACCATATACTATAGGCCTGAACAAGGACAAAGACAGCCAAATTTTTCAGAGAAGAAATACATAAGAATGGAAAGGGGAAAGAGCAGAATGAACTCCGTGGCGTTGGACTGAAATCGTTTTATGAATAGATTAATTGACATATAGCCAGAAAACTCCATGACTTGTTTTGTTCTGTTTCTTAGTTTTTTGAGACAGGGTCTTGCCATGTAGTCCAGGCTGGCCTCGAACTCATGGCTACCCTCTTGCCACAGCCTGCCAAGTGCTGGTACTACAGGCTTGCACCAAGAGGGAAATAGTAACGTACAGCGCAGAACCCTTCGCCACCATGTGACGGAAGAAGCCAAACTCATCCGCGCACGCGCCCTTGGCTCTGCTCACTGAGCAGGACCAGCATCACGGCCAATTGTTCCTGCTGGATACGAAGCGCCTGAAGGTGATCACAAGAAAACACCTGACGTACACGAGAGGGACAAGCTGAGCGTCCTGGTTTTGATAAAGCTCATATGGTTATATAAGAGGAAGGCTTTGTCCTTAACATTTTGTTTTTTATTTATTTTATTTTTTTTTTTTTTTTGTCTTTTTCGTTTTTATCGGTACCAGGGATCGAACTCACGACTGCCTGCTTACAAGGCAGGCGTTTATGCCGCTGAGCTAAATCCCCAGCCCCTAACATTTTGTTTTTTAAATAAAAAAAAATATAGGACATACCTGGCCTTCTTCCGGAGTAACTTCTGAGACTCGGGATAATGCACCAAAATTTCATTCAAGTCCTTTTTATCCAGGATGAAGAGGTTGGTGAACCCATGGGCCACCACGTTGGCGGTGCGCCGGTTCCCGCCCCCGACGGCCAGCAGGCTGGGGGAGAAGGGAGGTTGTGAGACCCTTCAGGGACCAGATCTCGTGCTTTGGATCTCGTTCAGCTTGGCCACCCTGGCCGTCCCATGCATGGTGGTGGCCCTGCACCAGTGGGCACCCAGACCTCCCCTGCACAGCCCCACCGCACGTCTGCCCCCTCCCAGCCCGTGCCCAGGGCCTCCTGCTCCCCCAGCGCCTCTTACCTGATCTCTCCAAACACGGACCCTGCTTTCAGTGTCACCAGCACCGCCTTGCCATCGGGGCCACCCAGGACCTGCACCTGGCCCGCCTGGATGATGTACATTTCTCGGCCAATCTCCCCCTGAAAGAGAGAAGGCTGAGCTCCTCCACCACCTCTGAGCATCCTCAAAGCCAAGGGCCGTGCCCAGCAAGAGGCACTAAGGCCGAATCCAGCCCTGTACCACCACTTGGCGTGGAGTCTGAGACTGTCACTTTCCTCTGGGGTCCCGGGCTCCTCACATGGGGACTGGGGAGAGTCAGCAGCCCTTGTCCTGCCTGCCTGACAGGTTCTGGAGGGCAGTTAGTGATGTGAGGACACAGAAAGTGCCAGGCAGCCCGGAAGGTGCGGGCGATGGTTCTGCAGCTTCCCACTGGCACCCACAAGGCCTGGTGAACAGAGCGATGGCTCCTGCGTTGCTAAACATCCATGAGCAGCCCCACCCAGGAACAGCCAGTGTCTGCTCGCTGACACAGGCAGATGACAACAGTGACATCCTGCGGCCCCTAGCACTTCACTGAGCCCGTCCATGGCGGGTCCCCATCCTCAGTCTCCACACCCTCTGAGGCAGGGCAGGACTGCACTTTTTATACTTTTTTTTTTTTTTTTTTTTTTTTTTTTTTTTTTTTTTGTCTTTTTCCTTTTTATCAGTACCGGGGATCGAACTCACGACTGCCTGCTTGCAAGGCAGGCACTTATGCCGCTGAGCTAAATCTCCAGCCCGCAGGCCTGCACTCTTTTTGTTTGTTTGTTTTGCACTGGAGATTGAACATAGGTGCTTTGCGCTGAGCTACATCCCCAGACCTTTTTAGAATTTTTATTTTGAGGCAGGATCTTGCTGTGTCATTAAGCTGCCCAGGCTGGGCTGCTACTTATAGTCCTTGTGCCTCTTCCTGCCAGACTGCACTTTTCTAAGGTCATAAAGTGAGGATTAAGCAAGGCCAGGATTTGAATCCAGTCCAGTTGCAGAGTTCATGGTGTTATAAGTCAAATCGTGCCCCATTTCCAACCCACATTTTGAAATCCCATTCCCTAGGACCTTAGAATGGGGCCTGATTTGGTAATAGGGTGTGGCAGCTGTAACTAAGGTAAGCCCACCTTGGAACAAGGTGGGAGGCAAATCCAATATGACTGGTGTCCTCACAAAAAGGGAACTGGACACAGAGACAGGCACAGTGGGAAAACGATGGAAGAACAGAGAAGCTGGGCCTAGGGCAGAGGCCATTCGGTGCGTGGTCTGGTGGCCCCACCAAACTCCCACGATGGCCAAGTCCAAGGTGCATGAATGAACACAGGAAGGAAGGGAAGGAGGAAAGGAAAAAAGAAGGAAGGAGAGGAAGGAGGGAGGGAGAGCGCCCAGTCAGCCTGCCACAAACTCAGTCCCCAGGCCCTGGCCAGGCCCACCCAGCCCACCACCTGTCAGTCATACCTGGGCAGCAACCTGGCAACACCAGCACACCCCACACATGCACAATCCCCTTTCCAGACAGGAAGCGTCCTGGCCGCCTGTCTCCAGGACACCTCACTAGACAGCACCCTGGTGTCTCAGGGACAGTGTCAAGCAGAGCCAGGCAGCTGCTCACGCACCCACAATCACACCTTCACCTCACAATCACAGCCTCATCCATGCCTGACTGACCCCTCACTGACAGCAAACTGTGTTGCCACACAGGTGATAGTGACAGCAGTCTCCACGGCTCTGTGCCAGGCATGGTGCCAAACCATAGGCCGATCTTAGTCAGCTCCCCCAGCACCCCGTGAGGGAGGTGCTACTCATACCCTCGCTTGTCAGTGAGCACTGGACTCAGAGAGGGCAAGCCATTTGTGCAGGGCTGCACAGCTAGGAAGTAGTTGCCTTGTCCAGACAGATCACTCTGCTGTTTCCACAGCCCTCTCAGCCCCTAACACCGAAGCTTTGCCTTCTCAGCCATCTATAGCATCGTTTCTCCCTCTTCCCCTACCGCTCTGCCTTTAGAAAATTCAGTACTGTGCAGCACACACCTAGAGTCAGGGCCTACTTGGGCTGGGGCTCCCAGTCTCACAGGGTCTGCTTGGGTAACATCTTCCCTATGCACACACCCAGCCTTACAGTCAGCTCCACGAAATAACACGGGACTCGGGCCCTCCCCACTGGTTTGCACATGTGCTCTCCCATCCCATCTCTGAATGGGGTGAGGGAGACCTTGCGAGCTTCCTCCATCCCTTCTCTGTGAACTGGGGCCCCACCCTGACCCCACCCCATGCTGGGACAGAGAGCCGTGGCCCGCTGTTACAAAGCCTGTCCCTCTGCAGAGACCCTGCAGCCCAGGGGTTTCACACGCCCCAGCCCCACCCACCGGAAGGCCTCGGCCTCGCACGCCCCCACCCCCGGGCTGCGGTGCACACCTTCTTGCACACGTAGTCGTTGGGCAGGTAGACCACAGAGCGCAGGCGCTTCAGCATATCGAAGATCATCTGCCGGTCACAGCCCTGCCCAGGGAGGAGGGAAGGAGACCGGTAAGAGGGACAATCAGGCTTGAGGTCCCCAGGGCCCACAGGAGAGGGCGGTGCACCTGAAAGAGCGCCACTTTGCTGACGATGTCATAGTTCACATCGATGGCAAGGTCCAGCCGCATCTTGTCCGGAAGCTGCACCATCAACTCTGACTCATCTGTGAACAGGACACGGGGGTCAGAGCCAGGGCAGCCCCGACCCTCACACACCTACAGCCCAGCCACCTTCCCTGCTGCTCTAGACCCCAACAGCTGCCAACTCCAGGCCTCTGTCAATACAATCCCTCTGTCAGGAAAGCCCTATGCACTTCACCGACGAACTCCTACTCATTCTTCAAAACCCAGCACCAACCTCACCTCTTCCAGGAAATCTTCCCTGGATACTCCTGACACAGCCTCTGCATCAGGGGTCCCGGGCTGTAGCACTGGTTATTGCAATTGTTGATGAAACACTACCCCTCATATGCACCCTAGAACATTAGCAAGAACTAGTTTATCTAGTACTTACCATGTGCCAGCCGTGTGTGTGTGTGTGTGTGTGTGTGTGTGTGTGTGTGTGTGTGACAGAGAGAAGTACTGGGGATTGAACACAGAGTCCTTGCATTGAACTACATTCCCAGATTTTTAAAAATTTTTGTATTTTGAGACAGGGTCTCACTAAATTGTCCAAGTTTAGCTCAATCCTTTGGCCTCAACCTGCAGTGCTGGGATGACAGGCGGGTCCCACCATGCCTGGCTTGTAAATCAATCCTTCTTCTTTAGTTTTTTAGTGGTGCTGGGAATTGAACCCAGGGCTTTGCCTGTGCCCTGGGCTAGGCAAGTGCCCTGCCACTGAGCTACATTCCAGTGCTTCCTGAGCCTGCTTTTCATAAAGATTATGTGATTTAATCCTTCCCGCAACCCAGGGGGCCTTGCACTCCCTTGTCACAGACAGGCTGGGGCACCCACTTGCCGGGCCCTGCAGCCAGGGCGGGGGAAGGAGACTGTGCCCAGGCCGTGTGCTCAGAGCCTCTGCAGGGGAGCAGGGCCATGTCCCAGGTACCCACCATGAGGTGCAGATGCTGTGTCAGAGGAAAAGATGGGGAGGGGGACAAGGAGGACTCCCCGTTCCTGATTCAAACCTCAGCTTTGATCTCCTGTGGGGCTGTGTCTCAAGGTGAAATAAGAGAAGGGAGCCCAGGAGACAGGCCCTGGAGTCTTCAGGAGGGTCGTGATGGCCAGCATGCAGCACCTCCCAGGCCTCCTCACACCCCTCTTACATAAACCTTGGAGCCACAGCCAAGTGAGGGCGCAGTGCTTGGGCGAGGAAAGAACTGGAAGGCTTCAGGCCAGGGTGCTGGTCTTACCCAGAATGCCTTGCGAGTGCCAGGTGTACTCATACCAGGTCTTGACGCGGTTCTGTACGGATTTGGGGATCTTGTAGAAGTTCATGTACTTCACTGTGCTGTCCATGCAGCTGCGGTAGTAGGTCTGTCCCGCAGTGGCCGCCCCTACCACGTCTCTCATCTGAAGCAGGACAGGAAGCAAGTTTGGGGATGTGTCGCTTTACCCAGACAGGAGCACATGCTCATAGGGCAGGAAGGGAAGAAGGAAGATGTCTATACGCAGAAGTTTCCTGGTGGGAGAAGTCCTGCCTCCAGTATGGATGTGGGAGGGCAGGTGCCGGCCACTCTGGTGGCATTGGATCCTGAGGGGACCTCTTTGTGGGCTGGGCTGACTCTGTGGTGCCATAGCTATTCTGTCCAAGCCCTTGCTAGAGGATATATGAGCCCAGCGCACAGTTCCCCCGGCTGGGGACCTTAGAAAGCTCTGACCCCTGCAGCCTGTTTGAAACAAGGCATTTCTCCCACCTTTCATTAAGCCACGAAGCCCAGCTCACCAGGATACCCAAAGGGCCTGACATGTTAAATAGAAGTGAGCTAGAAGGATGAGACCTGCACCCCCTCCTTCCACTCTCCCAGCAGGGCCTAGCACCTCAGGCTTCTGATTCTCTGTCCAGCGCTCCTTCCTGGTTTAGTCCCAAAGCAACAGACAGAGAGGCAGCAGTGGGAGGGGCCTGCGGGTGGAGGGTTGGGACCCAGGACAGCTACCTGTCCAATCATCACAGAGAAAGCGAAGACACCGGTGAAATAGTTCAGCAGCTGGAAGACAATTTCAAAGAGCGTCTGGGGGTCAGGCAGCCCCCCGATAGTGATGAGGGTCTTCACGGCCCAGTAGTAGCAGCGAATGTAACTGGAGAGAGAAGAGGGGAGGGAATCTCAGTCATAAAAGGACACACCTGCCAACCTTGGGCAACCTGGTCCAGATACCTTGTAGGTATGCACCATACAAGAGGGAGAGCTTTCATGCTTAGGTGCTAGAACACCTGTCTCTCTCGTGGCAGGGCATGTTGCAGTTTGTCCCTGGCTGTCCCACCTCCCTGGCACAGGCAAGGACAGATACAGAAACTGACACTCCAGAAGATATCCAGGAAGCATTGGTGGGAGGACAGAGGATGGGTGGGGAGAGGGACCAGTCCTGATGCCAGGGCTCCCACAGTTTCCACACTTGTTTCCTTTGCTATCCTGTCATGCGGCTCATGGAAAGCAAGTGTTACAGTTTCTATCTAGACACCCCCAAAGCCTCACGGCGGGTGTGGTTGGATCACAGAGACACGATGCTTCTCAGTGGGCTAATCCACTGAGATTCATCACAAAATGTGATGTTGGGAGGGGAAGACTGCTCTGAGGAGGCGGCTCACTGGGCGCACGGCCTGGAAGGGTCTCTTCCCCTCCTTTCTCCCTTGATCTGTTTCTCCACCTCCCACCTCCTCACCGAAAGCTGTTTCTCCTCTGCCATGCTGCCCTGTTTTGGAGCCAGGGACTATGGGCTGAAATCTCTGTAAACCGTAAACCAAATAAACCTTTCTTCTTTAAACTGTGGCCGTCAGGTATTTTGTTCCAGCAATGAGAAAGCAACTAAGACAAAGAACAACATCAGAGCTGTGAGATCCTGTTGGCCCTTGTATCTGCAGGTTTGTGTTTGGGGAGACAACCAAGGCCAGCTGGAAAATATTTTTAAAAACTGTGTCTATACTGAACATATACAGATATCTTTTCTCCTCAGTATTCCTTACATAATACAGCGTAACAAGTATTTATGTAGCCTTTGCTATGTATTAGGGATTCTAAACACTCCAGAGATGATTTCAATCTCCTGTGACAACTATCTTGAAGGCCACCTTTGCTGACCCTTCCTCCTCATCACGCATTTTCCAGGTAGTAAAATTGAGCCCCACCAAAGGAAAAGGGAATTCCCATGGTCACCAGCTGGCAGGTTCCAGATCCAGGACTGAACACGGGTGCTGGCTGATCCTCTGAGCTGCTACCCCAAGCCAGGCTCGTGATCCGTTGAGAAGGGAGATATGGGTTCTGGGGGTCCTGCTGTGTGGTAAACAGCTCGAGAAATGCCCTGGGCTTGTCTAATCATCACAAAGCAGCAAGGGCCCCCCTATACCTGTCCACACCTCCAGGTCAAGCCCTGCTGGGAGCCAGGAAGAGGGTGAAGCAGGCAGGGCTGCAAGATGGACCGGCTTTCCTGGGCTTCCTGCTTCCCCTCACTAGCTTCTTATGCAGCCTGGGAGCTCAAATACTGGCTCTGAAACCAGACTAAAGGTGCTCAAAGCCTCTTGCTCACTGTATGAGCAGATCCGCAATTTCTCCAAGTCCTGATCTCCTCCTCCATAAAATGGGGATGGTGGCAGAACAAAGGTAACCACAAGGATGAAATGAACGGCTGGAAGAGATGCCTGGCATAGGCCGGGCTCTCTGTAAATCAGTGTTTGTCCAGTGCCCAGTGCATGCCAGCAATGGACGCGCGGGGAGGGGGCATTGCTGAGCGCTCAGGAAGCTCTGCAATGAGGGTGGGCAATGGGTTCCGAATACTGGGAGGAGGAAGCAATCTTCTGCTTCCTCAACTTCTGATTGGGTGTGACTCTGAGTTTCAGGGCACCTCATTGCCGTCGGGGAACCAGTTACCTGGAAGTCTCAGGACTACACAAGCCTGCCCAGTCAAACTCCTGTCACGCTGGTAATGGCCACCAGAGGGCGCACGAAACAGCTCTGGTGGGGACTGAGCAGCCCCCTACCCTTCCAGACCCCTGGGCGGGGACCTGGGGAACCACGACTCAGGTGGCTGGGCTATCAACAGAGGACATAGCAGTGATGTCCACAAAGTTCTGGATTCCCGCGAGCATTTCCTCGTTGGAGTAATCTTTCATCGGCATGGCACATCCTAGTGGCCTCCCGGGAGTCCTGCGTTCCCTGCCTCCAGGGCTCTGGGGGTCCCTCGGTCCACTTCCCAGAGCTGGAGGATGACCGCACAGGTTGGAGCCCGGGTCCCCTCTTCCTTGCCATCGCTTCCCACGACTGCCACCCAACCCTCAAGTGGGTCCTTGGCTTACTGAGGCACAAACCCCTTTGGGAATTGAAGGAAAGCTGGGAAAGTCTCTTAGAAAAGCTGACATAGTCTCGGAATTCAGCTCCGAAGTCCAGAGGGAGTAAGACCTACTAATACACAGTTGACATTTGCCCCAAGTCTTAAGGTCCCATGTGGGTCTCACATTGGCAGCCTGGCTTGCCCACAACAGCTGTGTACCAAGTGCTGTGTGGCCCCTGGGGACACCCTGCTCCTCAGAGCAAGCTTTGAGTTTCTTGGGGAGGCTGCCTGGCAACCTGGCTCTGTCCGCCGCTCTAGAAACTTCCGCAGACCCGGAGCTCTTCGGCCATACTGGGCTCCCAGTCCTTGACTGTTATCTTACAGTTCCCCCATTCCACTTTTAAATAGGGTCATGAGTAGAACCCAGGGCCTCATGCTAGGCAAGAGCTTTACCACTGAATAACACACCCAGTACTTTTTAGTTTGAGACAAGGATCTCTCGGAGTTGCCAGAGTGGCCTCAAACATCTGCTCTTCCTGGTTAGCAACCTAGTAGCTGAGATTACAGACCCTCACCAGCCTGCCCAGCAAACACGTCTCATCTTCTTCATGTGAGTCCCTCTCTGGGTTCTCTGTCTCTTCTTTGCGTCTCTCACAGCCAAAGCCAAACCTAACTAGCTTAACTTTGGGCGAACTTTGCCACATCCATTCCCATTCCCCCATCCTGCCCCAGGCACCAGGCACTTTTCTTTTCCCTTGGGTCCACAGTCCAGTAGTCACAGCTCTGTGACCAGACTGCTCAGCTCCCAGCTCTGCAACTAGAGCTGTGTGACCTTGACTTCTCACTTCCTCTGTCATAGGGGAAGAGTCAGAGTACCTGTCATGTGACTGTTGTAAGTTACAATGTTAAGCGCTTTGATCAGGGCTGCTACCTATGAATAGTAAGAAGTGTTCGTGGAGGCTTACTGCTTCTGTTGTCAACACTCCCATATGGGGGACTGGCAAGTAGGTTCCCTGGTCTGCCGCCTGCCCAGAGAGCAGTGCAGAGACACACTTGTTCCCACTGGCCTTGCCCATGGGTTGGCAGAGTGCATGCACCTGTTCCATGTATTTATCAACCTACAGGACTTTGGAATGCTGAGAGGATTTTTTTTTGAGACCTGGTCTCACTATGTAGTTCAGGCTGGCCTTGAACTCACTATGTAGCATAGGCTGGTCTCAAACTCATAGCCATCCTCCTGTCTCAGCCTCCCGAGGGCTTGGATTACAGATGTGTGCTAACACACCTGGCCTTGCTGAGAGGACCTTCCTAGCAGGTCTCTTTTGTGTCTCTACCCTCTGCCTGGTACACAGCAGATGCTCAGGAAGACATGGAGATTGAGGCCTTGGACATTGTTATGTCAGTGATTCCTTAGAAGCAAGGTAACCTTGGCAATGTGGTGGCAATGGACTTCTTTCCAGGAGTCTTTGTGCTGTGAATTATGAAGAACAAGAATATCTCTCAGGTGTGGCCGCAGGAGGAAGGGGAGCTCACCTGTTTCCTTCGCCATCATAAACCCAGTGAGTGGAGCCGATGCCCTCAAAGGCTGAGGCCCAGTAATAAAGACACGAGTTCAGGTGCAAGCTGTAGAGCAGGTAGGCTGTGGTCCTGATGACCCTGCACACGAGGGGCATGGACACAGCCATTAGAGGGTGAAGGTGAGGCAGGCTGCAGGGAGGCAGCCAGTTTTCACCTCCCCGGAAGTCGCCCTCTCAGAGGTTCCCCCAGTGAGCCACATGGTCCTGCCCAGTCACTCAGAGGGGTGGACCCTGGGCTGGCCAGAAGCAGCAGCAGCTGGGCTGACCCTGTGGGATGCTTTTTAAGGTTGTGCCAGTTAGAGATGGTGGCACTTGGCCAGGAGCTGGCCAATACTTGGGGCTGGAATGGCCGCTGGAGGCAGCACTACTGCTCACATGAGTGCTGGGGTGGCAGCAGTGTCAGAGGACAATGTGGCCATGGGAAGAGCAACAGGGGACAGGGTGTGCAGAGAAGTGACGACGAGGCCATGCACCTCACGAGAGGGGTGCAGAAAGGTGCTGGGAGTCCTGCTCCCCCAGCGAGTCCTAGCTGGCCTCGGGCCCCACCTTGGGTGTCTTACAAGCACTCCCTCCCCCTGGAGCTATGTTGGGGGCTTCAGTTCCTTGTACTGACTCCAAAATACTAGCGAGCCACTTCTGTCAACCTGTAACAATTAGAGGAAATGGAGCAATTCTCTAAAGAACAAACATTCCTTTAGAGAAGGGGTTGGGCCAGGAAGAAGCTCAGCTTCTGGCTTCCACAGACAATGGGGACTGGAGGACAGGGAAGGTGAAAGGGGCAGATATGGGCAGAGAATGCCTTGTCCTGTGTGTGTGCTGTCACACGTGTGTGTGAGTGCATGCATGTGGTGCGCACATGTGAGATGTGTGCACTCGTGCACGTGCATGCGCGTATGTGTGCGCAGGTGTCTCACCTGTAGATGTAGGCTTTGCTGAGGATGGCTTCCAAGCGGCTGTTAAACTCAAAGAAGGCCATGTACTGGGAGGAAGAGAAAGGCATCAGGGACAGCTGCTGCTGTAGGCGTCGCCCTGCCCTCACCTCCCTGCCCATTCCCCGGGTGCGGAGACTGAGGCCCCTCTTCCCTGAAGGAGCCTGCATTCAGACCAAAGGGTACTTTGCCCTTGGGCAGCTGGGGGCTGGAAACCCCATTTAAGAATCTGATGATAGCAAAGGTCCCTCTTTCCTGGGAAATCACATATAATCGTGTTCTCACGACTTGCTTATTATTTCTGGAGAGACTCCCAGACCTTCTGAAACCCATCTTCACGATGGGTTTTGGTTGTTCATGCATCCCAAGTTAGGGGCTCTATTTTGTATGTTTACTTTATAAAGAAAATAATTTTATAATAAAACAGTTTATAACCCCCATTATGTCCTTCAAAGGCTATGTAAAGTAAGAAAAGTATAATGATAACTTCTCTTCTTTACCGAGTTCCTATTATATGATGGCATCTCCTTACCTACCTTATTTCTTATCTCCCTATGAAGTATGCGTTAGCTTTTTTTCAGGGCTGGGGATCGTGTGCGCTAGATAAGCAAACACCAGTGAGTTACAGCCCACGCCCTATCATTCTCCTTGGCACTCAGGGAAGTCGAGTCACTCGTCTGGAGCCCACTGGGAAATGAGAGTCAACCTTGAACCCAGATCAGATTCAAAGCTGCCAGCTGTTTGCTGTTTGTACCCCTCTAGATCTTTATCCACACTGAGTTTTTGATATTTGAAAATAATACTAATGAAGGTTTCCTAAGAGAGTAACGGAGAACATTTTAGAGCTTTCAGTGATATATACAGCCTACCACAGCACAACTAGATGCCACAGGTACCAGAGATCTGTCACCACTGTCTAAGGGATAGGCCAACCAACACTCAAGTGTTGTTTCTAACACCATCCGGAGATTACCCTGGAGGCTGGAAAACCATGGGCTTGGTGCCCTCATGTGAGGCTCAAAGGGTCGCCTCCTCCATGCTGTGTCAGATGTTAAACCTGAGTTGGGCGCACACACATCTCACTCGCCATGTGAAGCATCTCGCTTCCACATCTGGGATCCATCTTGGCCTGAGGGCCTGGCCTTGCTCACTTAGGCTTGGCTCTGAAGCAGCTTCCGCAGCCCCCAGAGGCCTGAGTGCATCTGAGAAAAATGGTTCCACTTCCCCCTTCTCCTTGGCAGCTTCTGTGCTCAGTTCCAGTGCAGTGTGCTTGCTTTCCCTAGCATTCTTTGGCGTATTTTTCTTATTGCACTGACCTCTTTTTAATAATTCCCTCACTCAAAAAAAAAAAAAATTCCCTCACTCATTGAGGGAAAAGCACCAAACATTAGCTAGGCATGGTGGTGCATGCCTGTAATTCCAGCACTCAGGAGGCTGAGGCAGTGAATTGCCATGAGTTAGAGGCCGGAATGGGCTACACAGTGAGTTCAAGGCCAGCCTGAACTGCATAGTGAGGAGACCGTTTTTCAAAAAAACCAACAAAGCAAAACAACCTCCCCCCACCAAAAGAAGCCCAAACCAAACCAAAACAATACAAAAAGCACCAGGCATCATGTATAGACAAAGATGACTTTCCTTGCTTAGCCAGCAAAATCCATTTGGGGGATCCCGAGGGCTCTGAGTGGCTGTGCACCCTGAGCTCACGAAAGGACACTGTGCCTGGCCGACTTGCCTGGGAGCCTGGCTCCTCCCCACAAAAGGCAGATTTAACACTGGAATGACACCGATCAGCAATCAACTGGGTGGGGGCTGTGCATCCCTAGTGCTCGCTCACTCCTTAGACCTTGGCTAAGTCATCCCACCTCTTCGAGTGCTAATTCCGCCCATCTTTTCAGTGGAGATCGCCATACAGCAGAAGCCCCTCGAGCAGGTCTGTAATTACTGAGAGACTCAAGTGGAGGATGCAGGCTCCCTGCGTGCAGGCCCAGCCTCCACTCCTTCCTATCCCTGTGACTTGGGCAAGCTGCTTAGCCTGTCTGTGCCCCGGGCTCCTCATTTGCAGGGTGTGGTGAGGACTTCACGCTGCAGGGTGAAGGAGCCAGCCCTTGACCAGTACCTAACCGATGGTGCCATAGAAGTGAGAGCCATTGGAATTGCTTCCCACCAAGATGGGCTAGAAGTGTGAGCAGCTCCCCTGGACCACCCCTGAGGACACCTCCCCTTCCCAGCTGCTCTAGGAGGACAGAAAGTGGCAGGGAGGGGCTGATGGCTGGTCTCACCTTTAAACAGCGGGGCAGGCGGAAGAGGGGGTTCACACCGAATTTCAAGTAGAGGAAATCCAAGGGCAGGAGGCAGATCACATCCATCTGAAACCCCAATGGGACCCCACAGTGTGTCAAACACATAACCCTGGGTGTGAGAGTGGGGTAAGGGCTGGGGTCCCACCCTCCACACACAGTGGAAGTCAGAATGTCCATGAGGGCCTCATACTAGAGGCCAGGAGGCGCCCAGCAAGAAGCCTCTGTGGTATCAGGACTGCCCTGTCCACTCCAATGCCAGCTCCATTGCCATGGCAATGATCACCATGCCCCCCCACAAAAAAGGTGGCCTTTGAGGACCGTCCCACCTGTGCCAGCCTCTGGGGAGCCTCAGCCCATGGGAAACATCCCAAGAAGCTGTGTCCAGCACCCCTCCAGGTGGCAGCTTCCAGGTCACATGGGCCCCTCAAGCACTCAGTCCCAGGAACTCCGCAACCACTACACCTTCCATCCCGACACACACCTTAAATCGGCGAGACTTTAGGTAGTAATTTCGCATCTCCTTCTTGTCCGTCTGGAAGAAAATGGAATAATGACAGTGAGGGGTGTTAAAGCTGGACCCCTGATTATGAGAAGCCACCACAGAATTCCCACAGAGTCCATCAGAGCAGCCTGCAGCAGTGGAGCCAGAGGGGACCCTCTGAGCTTCAGTGACAGTCCCTCAGGTGGCTGAGGCTGTCCAGGGTCACCAGCTGGATTCTTGTTTCTTGGATGCCAGTCGAGGGCCTGAGGCTCATTCTCTAGTGTGTAAATCTTCCCAGGACCACTTGCAACCTAACTCACAGAGGAGCTGGCAACTGCTCTGTGCAGACTAGGGAAGAGGCTGGCCAGGGAGTTCTCTTCCTCTGAGTCATTCATGTTTTGTTTTGTGTTGGAGACAACACACTACATCTTCCTGCCTCAGCCTTCTGAATGTTGGTATCACAGGGATGTTGGTGGGAGACCCTGCTCTCTCCTGGAAAACAAAGCCTTGCCACAACTTGTCCCCGAGCTCTCCTTCACCCTATTTACTGAGCTGTGTAGAGCTGGTTACACTGAAACAAATGTTCCTGGCAGTAAAAGTACCAGCCTTGTATACATCAAAATTATCTGTGCCTTGCTTCATTGGAGGCCTCTGTACCTGGGATAGCTACAAACTTTCTTTTCCCTATGCACTTTGCCAGGACACTACCCACCTCCCTGACGGACACCAATAAAAGCCATGAGCTTTTGGAGATGAAGCCCTTTGTTCCACACAGAACACTGGGTCATCCCAGAGCTCCTCAACTGCAGAACTCATCTCTTTCTTTTCCCTCCATGTGGGGTCAGACCGAACCCCTGATAATGTACCCCCAGCCCTAGCTCCTCAAAACATCAGTTTCAAGGCAAAAGCTCAACTTGTCTGCACACAGCAGAGCCCTGTGGTGCCAATGTGGGATGTGCTTTTCTTTGCCACTCTGGGGATCAAACCCAAGACTCATGCACGCTGGGCGATGGCTTTTACCTTTGAGCTCCATCCTCAGCCCTCAGTGTGGAATTTCAGAGAGTGGCTTGTACAGGGAAATAGGATAAGTCACAGTCAGGGCCTTGGTTCTTCCTTGACAAATGGAGGCTAACCCAGGGAATGGGGTTTTGCAGTGGCCCAAGTACAGAGATTGTCATGCCCTTTCCAGGAGCCCTGAGGTACACTGAGTTCCAGCAGTCCCTGGAGCCAAGCATGCTGCATTCATCATCAGAACTGATCCTCACACCATTGCTACTTGCTAGGAACTTGTACTAAACCTAGTTTTACAGATGAGAAACCGAGGCTCAGAGAGGTGGTCCGGCCAGGTGCATCTGCCCTAAAACCCACACGCTGAACCACTTAGCCACCCTTCACTCATCGGGGTTCAGAAGCCATATGAACAATATCAGATGGGTGTGATCTGAACATATCAAAGGCGGGTGAAATAAGCAACCAGGCTACTAAACATGCACCAGCAGCTGCCCCGGACATTTCCTTGTCCATTTATTTTGTCGTCTGGCATAGCATCAGCCATTGGCCCCCTGAAACTCTGGCTGTGAGGTCTGCTGTAGTCCCCCCTCTGCCTGTGACTCACAATGACGTCCCCGCCTCTGACGAACTGCAGGCGGATCTGGAAGACGGTGATGTCCAGGAGGTAGATGAGGTCGCACAGGTAATCCATCAGCAGCCACAGGTGGATGTTGTCAGGTGTCTGGTAGGGGAAGGCCCAGCGCACAGGAATCAGCCAGCAGTTCCAGTTCCAGGCCAGCACCACGAAGAACAGCCACAGGATGTACATCAGGTCTGCAGAAGGGACGGGGGGCCAGCTGGAGCCAGGGTGGGGAGGAGCTGGGCGGGCCCTGAAACCAGGTGGGACTTGGACTCTATGCATTTGCACTGTCACTGCTGCATGTAGTGCTTTCAAAACCGTGTGTGTGCCTGTGTTTGTGTGTGTAAAACTTTCTTTGCTTTAAAAATAAATTACTAGGGCAAGGATATAGCCCAGTGGCATAGCACCTGCCTAACAAGTGCAAGGTTGTGAGTTCAATCCCCTGTATAAAATCAATCAATCAATCACTAGTAGACCCTTATAAACCAGAGTACTCTGAGGAGGGGATAATGGTGGCATCATCGTCACCATCACCACCACCATCATCATCATGCTGTTTTGGTTTTTGAGACAGGATCTCTTTATGTAGTTCAGTCTGGCCTTGAACTCACTATGTGGTCCAGATTAGCCTCAAACTCACAGTAATCCTCCTGCCTCAGCTTTCTAAGTGCTAGGATTACAGATGTGCACCACACCTGGACACCCAGCTGAGGATGGCATTATTAGTGGATAATTAAGTAGCAAACACCTTTGCTTGCCTTCCTGCCTGTCTGCCTGCCTTCCCTCATCCCATCTTTCCTGTCAGGCTGGACTTGGGCATGACTTTCCCAGCATCCACGTCAGCAGTCATACTGTTCTCAGAAAACAATGCAGCTCGCCACAGGTGCTGCTGCCCTTGGCAAACACAGGACGTCATAATGAAGGGATGAGGCAGAGGCAGAATCTCGCAGCAGCAGGACATCCGATGACATCCACGCATTCGCACCGGACCCTCTGAGGACTTAGACCACTGACGTTTGCTCAGACCTCCTCACATAATGTCTCTTGCCAGACCTCCACCTTGTTCAAATCCTAAAAAGAGCCCCACTTTTCTTTGTTCCCCACGGATGATCTTTTGCCCTCCATCAGCCTGCACCCAGGTGTATTAAATCTTATGCCACGTTGCCTTCACAAAAGCCTGTCCAGTGGTCTCTGCCTCATATAATTTGTTACATCTCCTTCTTTTTTCTTTGCTCCTGCCCTTCCATCCTTTTTCTTTCCTTTCTTCTTCCCTTCCTTCCTCCTTCCTTCCTTTTTTTTTTTTTTTTTTTTTTGTTTTTTGTCTTTTTCCTTTTTATCGAACTCACGACTGCCTGCTTGCAAGGCAGGCACTTATGCCGCTGAGCTAAATCCCCAGCCCCACCTTCTTCCTTCTTCCATCAGCTACATCACCAGCCCTTTTTAAAATTTTGAGCTAGGGTCTCACTAACTTGCCCAATCTGCCCTAGAACTTTCCATCCCCTGCCTCCGGCTCTGGAGTAGCTGAGATTATACATAGGTGTGTGCCAACACACCGGGTTTGCTTTTATTCTGTCTGAAAATTTTCTAGCAATGCACTTCCTGCCTTAGTAAATACAGAATAGTAAATAATGCATGAAGGGCAGGTAGGTAGTTGGAAGGGAGGATGGATGAATAGACAAGGTAGCTGTCTTTAAAAACTCAGTGGACACCAGGGTTGGGGTCCTGCCCCCTAGAGAACTTTCTGGGTAACCCTGAGAAAGTTCCTCTCTGGCGTCTACTGTGCTTTTCTCAGTCATAGGGAAATGTGTCGTGGTAAACAGTGAAGCACTGTGCACATACGAAGTGCTGCAGCTCCTGAGGATTGTGGAGTAAGCAGACTTAAAGGCAAGCAAGGGGGATTCACATTAGACACTGGAAGAACCACGCACGCGTGCGCACACACACACACACACACACACACACACAGCTCTCTGCTCAGAGCAGGAGCTCTGAGAAGGAACCATTGTGGCCCTAGTAGAAAAAAAGTTTGGCCAAGGCTCAGGAGTCCTGGGTCAACACTGCCTGCTGTCCTTAGGCTGGATAATTTTCCTGTGCCTTAGCTCCCTCATCACGGTGTGTGAGCATATGTTCCTATTCTTGTTATTATTGTTTCTTTGTTTGAAGAGATGAGGAAGTGTGGAATCTTTTGAAGTATGACATTCGAGACCTCCCACCCGCTCCTTGCACCTCTGACCCTCTCCCACCACCCACTGTCCAGCCCTGCACCTTGCACAGAGAGCAGCGCCCCAGGACTCACTGGTCAGGGGGTCGATGCTCTGGGGGAACTGGTACTTCTTCCAGGGCCGGCGCTTGAACTTGCAGCAGAGCATGTCGCAGTAGTGCTCCTCCTCCTGCTCTACCTCAGCTGGCTTCGCGGTGGGGGCTGGCTCAGGGGCTTTCTTCACAGGGGCTGCAGGATGACACTGGTGACCATCTGACCGAGGGCCGAGAGCCTAGCTGCAGGCCCTGGCACTAGAATTAAGGGCGTTCATGTTCATTCTACACCTGCTGCGAGCTCTATGTGAGGAAATCAGCCAGGCTCTTGCTAGCCTGGCACCCACTTAGGTGTCTGTGTTTGGACTCCCTCGTTTCCTCTGATGGGAACCCAATCATATCCTTGAGTCACTCTTGCCCTCACTGTTGGCTGGGAAGGGGCTTTGGGGCTACCTCCAGCTCCAGACTCACAGGGCTTGGGACTGTCCTCATCAGAAGTGACGTCAGGGTCGATGAGTTTCTCCTTCACCTTCTCCGTCCGCTCCTTGAAGAGTTTCACCAGCTCCTGGAGCCGGTCATTGATGATGGCGCTGTTCTGGCTGGCCGTGGAGACTGGGCGGTTCTGGTCTCTGCAGGAATACCCCGAGGGAGCAGCTGAGCAGGAGGGGACCCAGCACCCAGGCAGAGCAGCTGAGCAGGAGGGGACCCAGCACCCAGGCAGAGCAGGGCAGCCTCTGCATCTCACCCTCTAGCAGAGCCTGCAGGAGCTAAATCCTGCCCTGCTTCCTTCTGACACCAGAAACATCAGACACGCTCCACTGTACACTGGGAAGAAATTCAGTGACAGTAACACCCAGGTGCTCCGGCCCAGCATTTAGAAATGTACCATGTCCCCTCTGATTCATGTGGGCAGTGCTGAAAAGCTGTTCACTCCATTTGCAATTTAGAAGGGAAACTCATGGAACTTCAGAGTTCAGTGATATCAGGCTGTTAATGTGAAAGTCACATGAAATTTATTTCTGGGAAGAACAGAGACGAGAACAGGGCTGCATTTTTGAACTCAGGAAACAGCTGGTGGTAAAAGCAGTATAGACACATGATAGATCTCTTTGACTTACAGGAGTTAAAGCTTACGCACTGCCAGCAAAAGAGACAGAGACAGAGACAGAGAGAAAATGACCGATCTGCTGACTTTTCACCACTGCAGGGCGTGTGCCATGGGTAAGCAGCAATGGGTGTGGAACAAGTTCTCCTCTGAGTGGCTGCACAGTGACCACTCAAAGCACAGAAACTCCAATCCATCACTCCTCTCATGGAGTTCTGAATGACAGGTGGTATCTGGGTTTGCAGAGATGTGAGCTTCGTCCCCATATCTATTCTCTCCCATTGTGAGCAGTGGCTGGGATGTAGCCACCCAGCCAAGGACCACGTTCCCAGGTGTGATCGTGTGAGCTCTCACCACTGGAACTGAATAGATATGGGCCTTCTTGCTGATGAGAGGCCTGGAGCTTGTCCTTTCTAGTGGTGGTTGGTGGGACTAGGAAGTCACATGGAGAAGGTGGCAGAGTCACCGTCACCTGGGTGCCTAAATGGTTGCATGGAGCAGAGCCTTCAATGTGAAATGTGAAACCACTGCCATAATTATGACATAGGGGATATCTTTTCTTTCAGCCGCTGAACCTCTGAGGCCTATTTGTCATAGCAGCTTTGGCTATCTAGCTATTACACAGGTCTCCATGTTGACCTCTTTATGCTATTTCAAGGGTAATTTTTATTTTGCACCTGATTTCTGCCATATTTTCTGACACTAAGTCCCAACCCCATCCCTACTATACAGCATAAAATGTGAGTCCACTGTGCAAAAAGAGACAATTGGAATACAGGTCAGGTTTGAGGCTTTCCCCACTTCTTGTATTTTCTGAATTTTCTATAATAGTTAAGCATAAACTGCATAAACTACATGAAGTTATGGATCTTACAAAAAGACTAGAAGGAGAAAGACAAGTCTAAAGTCACCAGTGGCTAATCCAAGGGATGTGGCTAGGGAGCATGGCAGGGTATCCAGGCTGATACCAAGGTCCGGGAGACTCACCATCGACCTATGATTCAACAACTTATGGGAAAACATCTCTCCCTGGCCAGCCCTCAGGACAGTTAGCTGTCAGAGACCAGGTCCCAGTGCTCTCACAGTGGTCTCTAAACACTGTTATACACACCAGCTGCATCAGAATTACCTGGGGAGCTTTCGGAGATGTGGATTCCCCAGGGCCACCATCTGAGGACCCAGCCCATGACAGCAGGCCTGAAAGCCTGCATTTTAAGAAACTCCTAGGGGTGGTGTCCCCTGGAGAGCCTGTGTCCTTCCTTGCCCCACTTTGCAGGGTCGCTGTCAAGTGCCAGGATCACTGGAAAGAACCTCTGCCTCGAGACGCTCCCATTCTGAGTACTGCTGGCCATACACACAGCTGGACACATGGCCCAAGCCCGTTCTTCAGAATTCATAGGACTAGGTCACCCAAGAGTAGCCCGGACAGTGACCCAGCCCTGGCAAAGCTGGCCCATGTGGAATTCTGAAAACATGTACGCTGCCACCATGTCCTCATATCCGTCCATCCCCACCTAGCCTGCCAAATGTGAGGCCCCAGAGGCTGCCCCACTTACTCAGCCTCCTGTGGGGTGGTGGGATCAGAGAAGATGATTGCTGGGGACTTAGCTGGTGACAGTGCCGTGAGCTCTTCAGTCTCATCATCCTGCGAGGGCAGCTTCTTCCTGTAAGGATCGAGGGATACAAAGGGGAAGCAAAAACTTTGACCCCTGAAGGTCACCAGTTACTGGGTAGAGGACTGAGGGGAGGGAATGGAACTGCCAAAAGATCCTCATTTGCCTGGAAAGAGGTGCAAAGGAGCAGAGAGGGACACAGCTACTCTTGGGACCTCAGTCTCCACATCTGCTCATTGGCCCAGCATAAAGGAAACAGCAGTGACTTGGTATCTAGCAAACAGATTTTCATCCCTGTTTTGCCTCTTGCCAGTGGATGACCTTGGGAAATTACTTAAAATCTCTGAGCCACCTCTGTTTCCCTTTCTGTAAAATGGGGTTAAATCTGCCCAACTAAATGAAGGACTTAGACATCAGGTCTTAGCTTGGACATCCTCCCCCTTCCCCTCTCCCTTCCAGTCTGAAGTCTCCATCTCAATTCTCAATCACATCTTCCTTTCAGGCACCAGAGGAGGCCACGGAGTCTGGTGTCCAGCTGATGGTGTGACCTTGGAGGAGTCTCATCCCCCACTGGGCCCCTGGCTCCCTACCTGAAAAGTAGAATCTGTGTTATCTGAGGGCTGCGTGAGGTTGGGTCTGCCCCCGCACTGTATTTATAGGCCTTTACATTTTCATCAGTCTACAACCTACTTAGATCTCAGGGACAAGAAGCTTCTTGCCCAGCCTGCTCTTGGCCTCAAGGCTACAGGCGGGGGCCTGGGCACTCTGTCTTGGTAGAAGGGGTCCCCTTGATGATATTTGACACCAGCAACTTAGGAGTTCATTCTCTGGATTTTCCCACCCTTTGCCTCAATAGTAAGAATAAGTTGCTTTACCAAAGAACCCAAAAACATAGGAAGAAATAAAGAAAGCAGGACAAAGAAATTTGTTAGTGCCACCAAAGAGAAAAAAAAAAAAAATCCGGCTCCAGGTTTAGACAGTCCTGTTTAAGACAGAATAGCGTTAGCTGACATAGAAACTGGCACACAGTGCAGGCCACACCTACCACTGGGAACACCGTCTTATAAGTCAATAGACTGAATGCTGGTGGGGAAGAAGAGTCTTGGCTTTGTTGTTGCTATTGTTTGAGGGTTGTTTTTTTTTTGTCTTTTTCCTTTTTATCGGTACCAGGGATCAAACTCACAACTGCCTGCTTGTAAGGCAGGCGCTTATGCTGCTAAGCTAAATCCCCAGCCCCTTATTGTTTGAGTTTTGAGATGGGTTCTTGCTAAGTGGCCCAGGCTGGCCTCCAACATGAATTTTCCAAAATCTCATGATTTTCCTATCTCAGCTTCCCAGGTAGCTGGTAAGACGGACCTTTCTCAGGTTGCCTTTTATTTTTTTTCCTTATTTTCTTTTTCGTGTATGCTAGGCAAGCACTCTACCACTAAACTACAATCCTATCCTTTTAAATTTTTATTTTGAGACGTGGCTCTATCATGTTGACTAACCCTGACCTAAAAACATGCGCTCCTCCCACCTCAGCCTCCTGAGTGTCTGGGGTTACAGGTGTGCGCCACAGTGCTGGCAAGAACGGTCATTTCTTAATGACTTGGAAAAACATGGAACACTAAATGCCAAGTGTTAACACTAAAAGTCTGGGGATGTGGGCATGAGTGTTAGCACTTGAGTTAGCCGAGAGAGACAAGTGTCAGAACAGTTGGTAACAGGAGGATGAGTGTAGGACCTGAACTGGAGCGTGCCGGATGTGGGTGAGCCATGATAAACATGCACAGCTGGACCCACAAGGAGAGCCAGCTTTGGGGACTTGAAAATGAAAGGCCAGCTGGGAGTGTCAGCACCGGGCAGCGGTTACAGAGGCTGGCCCATTGGAAGCCCAGGTGCAGTGCAGTAAACAACGCACTGTCAGCAGCCTGGGGGAACACAGGATGGCCTGTCCGGGGCCTTCAGCCATAGCTCTGTGGGAGACAAACCATGTAGCCGAATTCTGGGAAACATGCCCTTGCACCTGGTCTTCTGGGGAAAGCCATGATTACCTTCCATCAAGACACTCACGTCCATGGGGTTTGACAGGAAATGGACCCATATGGGACCCTCAACCAGGGTGGATGAGGACTGGCTATTTTCCTGCAATCCCCATCAAAACTGGAAACCTCGACCTCGTCCCCATAAACCACTTCTCCCTGTGGAGAATCAGAGAAGCCTCCCTCTGCCCCTTCTCTGGGAAGACTCCTCGGAGCGGACTCCTGAGCTGCTGAGACCTGCACAGTTTCCCGAGTCAGCAAGGTTCCAACTCCGAGGACCAGTCACAGGCTGGTGGGAGGTTGCTGGGGGCAGGACTAGGCTCTCCCTGTGCAGTTGTCACTCACTTGGCACTCAAGCATGAATCACATCAGGCTTCCAGGCCTGGACTCCTTCCCAGCCTCAACCACCCAAATCAGGAACTCACCATCAGGGTTTCTAGTGGGACACAAGACGAGGGGCTTGGAATGTGCGCACATTTATTCCAGAAGGCTGCCAGCTGTCCTGTTACCTTTGCCAGCTTGCCTACAATGGCACAATTCACAGATTCACCTCCTTCACACTCTGATTAAAGGCTAGCTTCTGGGAGACTGAGGCAGGAGGATGGCAAGTTTGAGCCCACCCTGAGCAACTGAGTAACTTAGGGAAATCCTGCCTCAAAAAGCTTAAAACTTGGAGATGTGACTCAGCGTAAAGCCCTGTATTCAATCCCCAGTAGGGAAGATGGGGTTAGAAAATTTTAAAAAAGGGCGACCTCTTACAAAAATAACGGGCCTCAAAGTGGCACCCAAACTCCCCCCTCCCAGTCCAGCCCAGGGCCCCCTCCAGGCCTGGCTGAAACCAGACTGCAGCACTAAGCCGCAGCCCTCACCCCCAGGCTGTGCGGAGCAGCTCAGGGCAGCAGCTGGTAAACCCTCCCCCAAACTCCAACAGATGGGAGGGGTCCTGTTCTCCCTCACATCGGGAAGAGGGAGACCCAACAAGAGCCCCTACTTGCCTTGAGGTAGATGGGGAGCTGGAGTTCGCACCACAGCCCTGGCCCAGGCCTGCAAAGCAGCCTAAATTGTGAGAAGGGCTTTGCCTGATGCTCCTCAGTCAGAGCTGCATTCTCCGTGGCCTTGGGGTTCCTCTCTGGTGTCCCCAGGCTCATTTGTCCCCTAGCCTCTCCCATCAGCCCTCAAAACTCTGCTGGCAGGCCAGCTCCACCCCATGCTCACAGTCAAGTTCAGCTGAGCACTTGTTTGGCATTTGATTACTTGCTCTCTGTCTCCCTCAGGGCCATGAGCAAGCACAACACCACCCACCCACCCCCATCCTCCCACCCCCGGCTTCTTCTCACTGCCCCTGCTTACGCAGATATGCTCAAGAACTGTGTGTGCAGATGGGTGACAGGGACAGGAAGAGCTGCATAGGCTGGGTGTGCATGCAGAAGGCCCACGTCACCTCGCCCCCTCTCTGGCCCTCAGAAGGCCCCCAGCTCAGCCATGTGTAACTTCTCTGCCCAGAGAACTTCACCACCCTGAGACCTTCCCTGCCTGTGTACAGGAAGCAGCAGTGTACATCTTTGACTGAGGCAGTGCTGTTTCTGGATCTTCCCATATGCCCTGTGCATACTTTAGTAAACCAAACACAGACAATGGTAGAGCTATAAGCTGTATTCCTAAGCTCAGTGAGATGTCTCTTTTTTCCACTTAAATCTGAAAGTTTTCCACATCTGACCAGCTCCATTCTGGCAGGCTCCTGATCTCAGCTGAGCAATTACCCAGGATCTCATGGATGAGAACCAAAAATGAAGAAAAAAAGAACCATTTATCCATCCAGTCAGTGCAGAAAGAGCACCAACAGCTCCCAGAACAGAAATGCAGTCACTTGTAAAGCCCTCTAGTGCACTCCTCCTGGCTACCCAGTTACCTGGTCCCCCTGTCCAAAAACAACTCTAACCACTTGGCTACAAATTTATTTCAAGAGGTGTAAAAATGTGCATGGTCTTGGTCAAGGATCCTACTCTGGAGTTGCTACGGGTGGACAGCAGAAAGCCAGGATGGCCACATGCCATTACAGACAGAGCCCAAGAAGAGGGGACTTGTGAATGCGCTCGCCACGTGGAACTGGAGGGACATCACGAAGCCGATATCCGTGAGGGGACAGCTGGCAGGGAGGAAAAAGCTATGGAAGGAGATAAGATCCCAAATTGGATCACATTAAAGAGAATGGAAGAGAATGGAACAAAATAAAAATGTGGCATGGTTGGCTTATTAATGATTATTCTTTTAAGGTTCTTTGTTGTTTCTGTTAGATTATCTACTGATAAAATGAGATGGCCCCAAAAGCGCAGGTAACGAAAACAAAAATAGACAAGCGAAACTATGCAAAATTAAAAGGCTCCTGCATAGCAAGGGAAATAAGCAACAGAGGAGAGAGAAACCCCAACAGAATGTAAGAAAATACTATATCTACAAACCGTTTATTTGATAAGAGGTTATTATTCAAAATAAGCATGGGATTCCTCCAACTGAATACCAACACAAAACCCAACTTATCAAATTAAAACTAAACTAAGCGTTGAGGAGACATTTCTCCAAGGAAGACATTCCAGCAGGTAGGTATGCGGAGAGCTGCTTAAGGCTGTGTGTGCCTCTAGGTGTCGGGCTCCTGCTGAGCCTGCCTGAGACCATGCATTCCATCCCCAGCACCACCAAAGGAGAAGGTGCTCAACCTTACTGATCATCAGGAAAATGCTGATGGAAACCATAGTGAGACACTGCCTCACAGCTGTCAGGATGAACATCACTTAAAAACAACCAACAAAGTACTGGGTGTTGGTGTGTGGAGAAATTGCAACCCCATGCAGTTACTGACATTGGAATAAGACAGCCACCATCAAACACAGCATAGAGATTCATAAAAAAAAAAAAAAGAACGATCATAGGAAGTAGAAATCCTTCTCAGGGTATCCATTCAAACTAATTGAAATTAGGCCAGGTGGTGGCACATGCCTGTAATCCCAGCACTTGGAAGGCTGGGGCAGGAGGATTACTATGATTTCAAGGCCAGTTTGGGCTATATAGTGAGTTCAAGGCCAACCTTAACTATATATCGAGACCCTGTCTCTAAAAAAAAATATGGAAGAAAAAAATTAGGATCCAAAGAAATATTTTCACCCCATATTCCCAACAACCAAGAGGTGGAAGCAACCTAAATGTCCATCGGTGGAGTAGATACAGAAAGCACAGGGTACACATACAGTAGGATATTATTCAGCCTTAGGACAGAAGGCGATCCTGTCACAGTTACAGCGTGGGTATGACAATGATAGAACCGCTGCTGCTTCTCTCTGGCCTCAGTCTCCTCATCTACCAGATGGACAAGTGGCACCGTGCTGAAAAACACCCAAGAGAAGCACAAAGAGTCACCTGTGGGCCCCTGCGGCCGAGCCTGGGACAGCGAGTGTGTCGGATTTGGCAGGCGAAGGCGGTGGCAGCCCAGGCGAGGACGGCTTCTCCTCCTCGATGAGAGGGCAGCTATCGGCATCCGTGTCTTCCACCTGTACTTCGGGGTGCTCTTCTGTGGCAGGCACTTGAGGAGAAGGAGAGATAGAGTCAGGGAGAGAGAAAAGCAGGCCCCTGGGGCCTGGCTGTGCCCTTGAGAAAGCCACATGCAGGTCAAAGGTAGGTCTGTGGGGCCTCTGGCAGCCTCACCTGCAGAAGGGCCCCGAGGGTCTGTGTGTGTGTGTGTGTGTGAGAGAGAGAGAGAGAGAGAGAGAGAGAGAGAGAGAGAGAGAGACAACACTCAGAAAGGACATGGGGAGCTGAGCTCAGCAGGGTGAGAGTGAGGAAAAGGGACTACGCTGGGGTCCGGGGCCTGGTCTAGCACATTCTGGGTCAGCTGCTTCCTTGTTGGGGCCTCAGGTTCCCCATCCTAAGGTAGGGGTGGCAATGCCTTCCAAGCCGCAGGGGTGGCCACGTCTCAAGTGCAGACATCTGGCGCTTCCCTTCCACCAAGTACAGCAGGAGGCTTCAGTGGGACATGTTTGCCCTTATGGCAGTCAGCCCATCTCTGCACCTCTGAGTGACCTGATGCCAGCTGTCCTGTCCACACCTCCACGGCAGGTCCTCCCTGTGGGCCCTGGACACAGCCCTACTCAGTCCTCTCATGCTGGGAACTGTGGAAACAGGTCTGCCCCAAGTCCAAGCTCAGGTGTTAGGTTGGTCCCCTATCTCTCTCACACTTTGGGGAGTGCCTGGTGCCCTCCAGGCCCAGGGCTGTGCACCAGCAAGGAAGGGGAGGGAGCACATCTTGAAATAACTTTTATTTTCCCCTAGTGCTGGGGATGGAACCAAGGGCCCCACGCACACTACACAAGCGCTCTGCCACTGAACCATGCCACCTGCCCCCTCATCGTGTTTTTTAAGTAGTCATTTTGGGGAAAACCTGTGCTTAATGGAGTTGCTTGTACTTATTTTATACTTTGATGGAAGGAACCAAAAGAAGCTTCAAGACTTTCTGGCATTTGTTTTACAAAAACCTGAGCTCTCTAGGGAACACCAATGGAGGCACTTTTTTTTTTTAATTTAAAAGAGACATCTTGCCAGACTAAGGGATCCCTAGGCTCTGAGAAATAGGAGGGAGCCTCACCTTGCTGCCCCACAGCCCTGGAGAGGTGAGCTGGGCGGGGAAAAGGGGTGGCCAGGCCACTGCAGTCCTGACACGCTCAGGACATCTGCAGCAAGCCGTGTCAGGGAGCTACAGAGGGGCAGCTACGCCCCAATCCCTGCCAGGCCCTGGGTCAGACCGTGCATCCTCCATTCCCTGGAAGAGGAGAGGAAATCCTAGACTGTGTTCCACTTCCCACCAGTTCTGTGTAGTGTGACTCAAGATAGAAATGATATTGGTTTGTTATACCGAAGTATAGACTAAGACTAATGGTATTAGAAATATAAAGAATAATCTTACATTGCCAGGTAAGGTAGCACATGTCTTTAATCCCAACATTCAGGGGGCTGACATAGGTGGATCACTGCAAGTTTGAGACCAGCCTGGGCTACAAAATAAACTCAAGGCCAGCCCGAATTGCATAGCGAGATGCTGTCTCAAAAAGACAGGGAAAAAAAAAGAATAATCTTACATTAAGATGATTTCAAGACTAATATTTGCTGACAAGCACCTCTTATGTACCTGTCACCATTTGTTTTGCTAGGCCGTAAGTTATATATATATATTTTTTTCTTTTATTTATTTGTTTAGGAGGCTGGGTCTTACTACGTTCCCCAGGCTGGCCTCAAACTCCTCCTGTCTCATACTCCTTAGCAGCTGAGACTCTAGAAATATACCACCCTGTATTAACCTTTCTGATTTTCCCAGCTGTTCTACAAGGTAGCTGTTATCTTTGTCCCATATGCGGGAGAGAAGCTAGGCTCAGAGATGTCAGGGCACTTGCTCAAAGCTGGGGCTCGGATCCAGCTTAGAAGGTGCCAGGTGGCCTCACTACCACAGGAACAGTACTCTTGCTCTGCCCGCTGTTTCCCCCTCTGGAGCACCTACAGCCATCCCGTGCTGTGCCCCTGCAGGTCAGCCCACTGTCTCAGGGTCACACAGTGAGGATCCAGGGACAAGGGAGGCCCCAAGACGGCTTCAGATGTCCAGGCCAGGGAAAGGATAACAGAGTAAGAACGTGACTCCTGTTTTAATTCTCTCAATCCCAAATATCCAGAAAGGAGATCCCAGGTTGGTGCTGCCATGCCCTTGCCTGAAGCCTCTCGGATACAGGAAAAGCCTTTGGGGCTGAGAGTCCAGGATTCACTTTGAGCCCCATAGGCCACCACAGCCACCTCTCACTGCTATTTTGTTCTATGTCTGTGGTTATTTCTATGAATGTTGTCTATTTATAGCAAGCAATGCTGGTTTTCCATTTGAATGGGAATAAGAAATGTCCCTGTTTAACTGCACTTAGGTAGAAAAAGAGGATCTGGTGAAAGAAGCACAGAAAATACAAGCAGAGTTAGTCCAGAATGTAACTATAGCTGGGGGAGTGGTCTGTGGGCCTGGAGATTGGGGGCCCCCTTGCAGAAGTAGACCTAAGGTTTGTCACAGGAAGACAGAGCCCAGGCATCACCCCTTGTTGCAAGGATGACGTGAATGCCACCTCCCCTACTCCATGCCACTGAACACAGCAAGAAGAGGGAAAAAGCTGAGTCTTTGCTGATGCCTCCCTGCACTGATTTAAGTGTCAGCCACAGGTGACAGGCGCATGGAGAGGGGTCTGGCCAGAGTTCAGGCAGGAAGTGATTCTGGGTGAATCTAGACACATCAGTACCTCTCTTAGGAATCTTTTTCTTGGTACTAGGGATCGAACTCATGACCTCGTGCTTGCCAGGCAGGCGCTTGCACCGCTCAGTTAAATCCCCACCCCTCTCCTAGCAATCTTGTCCCCCATCCCAGAGGTCTAGCCAGCGACCTTGTCACCATTAAATGGCTCCAGACAGACCCTCCCTCTGTGCTGCTCCTGAGGACACACCTCCCGCTGCTGGCCGCTTGCACCTGGCCACTGCTCCTTTCCTGAAAAGGGATCTGCTGAGCAGATATCAATAGTCCTCAGGAAGTCCTGCTCCCAGCCAGGCATGGTGGCCACCCCTGTAATCCCAATTACTTGGGAGGCTGAGCCAGGATGATCTCAAGTATAAAGCCAGCCTGAGTAACTCACCAAGATCCTATCTCAAAATAAGCAGATAAAAAGGGAGGGAGAATGTAGGTTGGTACAAAATGCTTGCCCAGTATGTGCAAGGCCCCGTTTTCAGTCCTAGTATTTTCCTCTCTTGCCCACAAAAGCCCAGCTCCCAGCAAACTCTCAGATAAATTCTATCTGCAGCACCCCCCTCCACATTCCTCTTCTATTTCCCTCATTTTCCTGTCCCCACTTCCCTCATCAGCTCTGTGTTCAAGTTTCATGGCTTGGGGACACAAGTGCGTGACTTGTTTAAATTAGAATATGAATGACTTCCTGTTTCAAAAATGATGACCGCAAAAGCAATTATGTAACCCAAAGAAACAAATTGCTAATTGTGCAATTTTAGGCATGGAGAGAAAAGGACCAAAATCCCTCAAGTCACCACCATAAAGCAGGATAAAGAGGTAGCTTTCCATAATCACAGCAGTGGTCCTGCCCATGACCACAGACCCATGCAGGAAGACAGACCAAGCCATGCAGAAGCACACACCACAGCATGAGCATGCCGGATAGCAGAATCACACTACCTAGGCGACGGACGGAGCTCCTGGTCTCCTTGGCGAAGCTGGAGTTGGACAAGGTTGTTCTCCGGGAGATGAGGACAGGGATGCGGGTGATTGGAGGGCGGTAGCTGGGCATGTTGGGGAGGTGCTCTGCCAGGTTTGGGGGACCAAGTCTGGGGGCCACCTGGCCAGGTGGGTGATCCTGGACCAGGCGATTCAGTTCCATGTCACGGCCTAGGTTAGTCATGGTGCTGGGGCCAGAAGGTCGCAGGCAGGGGCGTGATCCTAGGGACTGCAATCACAGTGTGGGAGACAGCGTAAGTGGCACCGATACAGAGTAGCCTGGTGCCAGTCTATGTTAGCAGCAACCTTCTGCAAGCTTGAAGCCTTATGCCTGCCCCAAGTTCAACATCAAAAGTCGCCAAGCACATGGTTCGTCCACCCAGCAGCTCCCAGGGATGCACCAGATTGCCCCAGCTTCTCGGGCTCTCTCTGCTTACCAAGCATAGTAGCATTTCCCATCTTAGATTCAAAAACAGACACACAGAAGCCAGCACTCATAGTCTGTCAGAGACTATGAACCCTGGACTCAAGTATTCTTAGCCCAGTAGAATTTTCTTGTCTAAAGAAACTCTGAAGGCCAATTAAATTTCACTTCTACCCAGAAGCAGTCACTTTCCTTAGGGCCCTGGTGCCCAGCTAGGCTGCATATGGGATGACCTGAGGAGGTGTGAGCATGCCTGATGGCTGGCCTGTCCCCAGCGATCTGACTTAATGATCTAGGTGAGGCCAGACTTGGAATTTTAAAACCTCTTCTCTGAGAACATAAACCGGTACAGCCACTATGTTTTTTTGGTTTGGTTTTTTTTTTTTTTTTTTTTTTTTTTTTTTTTTTGTCTTTTTCCTTTTTATCGGTACCGGGGATCGAACTCACGACTGCCTGCTTGCAAGGCAGGCGCTTATGCCACTGAGCTAAATCCCCAGCCCCGGTGCAGCCACTATGAAAGTCAGTATGGAGGTTCTTCTAAAAACTAAAACTAGAACTACCGTATAATCCAGCTACCCCACTCCTTGATGTCCACTCAAGGGAATTAAGTCGGCATGTTACAGGGATATCAGTTTCCCGTGTTTATTAAGCACAGTTCATAATAGCCAGATGGAAGCAGCCTAGAGGCCCATCAGCGGATGACGGGACAAGGAAAGTGTGATGTGTGAATCTCACCAGGTACCACCCTTCAGCCATAAAGAACAAATGTCATTTGCGGGAAAATGGATGGGACTGGAGGTCATTGTATTAAATCATATAAACCAGACTCAGAAAAACAAATGTTGTATGTGAGAGCTAGAAAAACAAAAAAAAAAAACAAAGATGATGCAAAAGTAGAAGGGAGCTTATTACTGCACAAGAGAAAGGGAAGAAGGGTGAGGGGTAGGAAATGGACAGGAAGGCAATGGGAAGATGAATATCATCAAAATATATCATATTCATGTAAGAAAAGGCCACAGTGAAACCCAATATTCTAAAATTAGTATGCATTAATAAAACATCAAGTTAAAATATCTCTCCTCATGATTCTATTGTGCAGTAGAGTTTGAGAACCAGGGTTCATGGCTACCACCTTTCAGATGCTAATGTGCAGATGCATCCCCAGGAGGTCTTATCATAACGTCCACTAGGTTTTGCACGTCTTAGTAGAGTCTGGGACTCTGTGTTCTTACCCAGCTCCCAGGGGCACCAAGGCTATTGGACCTAGGCTCATGTTTCTGAATGTGAAGGACAGATGGTTACGCCTCGGTGCTTCTCAGAGTGCTGTTCCCAGAACATCTGAAGGCATCACCACTGTGCCCATCTGGTCCTGCACTGCCCATCGTGTGGAGGTCCAGCATCAGGCCTGGGCTAGGAGGTTCCTACAGACTCATGTTGAAGTCCACAGGAAATGCTTTCCAAAGACCAGCTGGGTTAGGACAGGAGCCAGAGCCATCTCAGTAACTATCTCCGTTATAGACTCCCCTCTCTGAACCACCGGCAATGCTGGGAGCCTTTGAAATGCTGTCTCTGCTCCTCCCATGAGATAGGTACTGACATTGTTCCATTTTTTTCTATTTGGGAACCATGACTCAGAGAGGTCACAGAACTGGCTCTGGGTGACTCAGCAAGGAGAGGGAGAGGAGATGGGAGTGCATAACAGAACTTCTGGCCAAATCCAGTACACAGAGAGCCTCACTTTTGTCATCTGCAAAGTAGCCGGTCTGCCTCACAGGGTGGCAGAACTACTGGTGGATGGAGAGGTGAGAGCCATGTAGCCTACAGGTCTCAGGGGAACCATGGCCTGGCCATTGCTAGGTTTCAGTGCCTCTCTCCCATGGTTCCTGGAGTGCTCAGCATTGGGCGTGAAGTGTAAATCCCAGCAAAGTACATGTGCTGGGTACAGCCTGGAGCGCTCAGCCAGCTCACAGAGTGGTGGGAATCTAGCACTGTCTTCAGGCTCTGGTCTTACTTATCCCCAGATATGTTACCTTTGCTGCCACCTTTGCTGGGCCTTAGGCACTGCATTCCCATTAGAGAGAAGGTGTTGGGAGGGACCAGTGGGTTCAGGGTTTCCCCAGTTCCCCTGGGAGCTCCAGGGCCTCTGACATTCCCCTGTGACCTTTGAGAAACATCATCTGGCTGTGACAATGTGGCCCCAAGACACAAAGGATGGGTTTAGCCAAGGACAAGGCTGGTTATAGCCAGCAGGCAAGGAGGAGGCAGGATCGGAGGGTAGAAATGCCCTAGACTGAAGGCACCCTGGACATTCGGGTATGTATAGCCCCAGCCCCACCTACCTGCTGAGCAGGCAGCCACCACCTCCTCCGGCTGCTCCTGCAAGGGAACAGAAGATGCAGGAGCCAGAACGGTCACTCTCCCGACTACGCCCATCTGCCTGCCCCACACTTCAGGGTGTGCGCCCCTTTTGGATCTTGCTACAATGTCCCATTTTTACACAGATAGCCACAGAGGCAGAGGGCACTCACTTGAGGATTTGAGCCCAGGTCCACCTGTCCCCCAAGACCCCTCCTGACACCATGTGATCCCTGGTAAGGAGTGGGACAACCACCCTCCTCCCTCTGTCCCACGGCATCTCACCAGATAATTCCACCCCACTAAATGCAGTGGATCAGCCCAGTCTTTCACTGATGCCAGTCCAAGTTTGGTGGCACTAGGCACATTTGGCTCTCTATACCTGCAGCGAGGTCTTCTGGCACTGGGTCCCTACGTCGCTCTGGTTCACACCCTCCTGTACCACCAAACAGCTATCCAGTAGGACACTGAGATCCAGAGAGCTGGTAGAAAAGAGCAGAGGTTAGAGGCCCTCAATATGTCCTGACTTGTTGACAGCCAGGCTCTGAGCCAGAAGCGGGGAGGCAGAGACTCCCAGCACCAGGTCATCACTTGATAAGACTCCCAGGGCAGCTTCCTAATCACCATCGCCCCCTCTGAAGTGCATTCAACCAGGGGCTGCAGAACATATCGTGACTCTCCTGGGAAGGGGGACTTTCCAGAGGAGGTGGCCTGTGAGAGGAGCCTCAAGGCTGATGATGTTAAAAAGAGGAACAGGTGGGAAGGACCTCCAGGAAGGGTGAAAACAAGTGCCAAGAAGGGCATGCAGGGTGGTGGCCTGCATAGTACTGCATGTGTGCCAGAGCACACATGCCCAGGCTTCAACCAAGAGCCTCCAGGCCACCTCGGGGCTGCAGGCAGGACAGGGAGTATGGACTAGTGAGGACCAGAGGGATGAACTGACCTGGCCAAAACCACACAATCCCTGACCCTCAGTCCAGCTTCTTTCTACTCTGAGATCAGAGCCACATTGCAACTGCTAAAAGTGTCAACCATCCCTGGCCCAGGCAGCAGGCATCCATGAGTGACAGGGCCAAGGTGTGGCCACGGGGCACAGAGAGGACTGTGCTGAATGGGAGAACTTGTATCCATCTGAAGGCAGCACTTGGACTGGAGACCTGGGTTGGCCAGACCTAATTTTTGAAAGGAAACTAAATCATAAATCATACATTTCAAAGATGGAATTTCTCAATATTTCAATGCTGATACATAATTAAATTGATTTGAATATTACTATGTAAATGTCATAAAGAACCTGTTTCCAGGCAAAACTGGTCCTGTAGATGTCCCTATGTGATTTCTGGACTAAAATGATGGCTCAAGATCAAGGGCTTTGCTGAGCACAGATCTGCCTACCTGTAATCTCAGCATTCTGACAGGCTGAGGCAGGAGGATCACAAGTTTAAGCCTAGCCTCAGCAACTTAGCAAGACTTTGTCTGAAAATAAAAAAGATAAAAAGGGCTAAGGATGTAGCTCAGTGCAAACACCCTGGGTTCAATCCCTAATATTAAAAAACAAAGCAAACAGACAAGAAGAAAAAGCCCAGGGGCCTAGGCCAGGCATGATGATGTATACCTGTAATAACCTAGCACACAGGAAGCTGAGGCAGAATGACTGCCAGAGAGTGAGGCCAGCCTCCACTACCTAGTGAGATCCTCTTTTTTTAAAAGTTGTATCATTTTATTTTATTTTCAAATCCATTTCATTCAAGGATAAGAAGAAAGAAAGAAGAGAAAAACTATAACAAAATTTCAAAACACATCAATCGGGGGCATTAATGGTATATACCTTGCTCTGAGATCCTGTCTTAAAAAAATAAAAATAAAAATACCAGGGGCTCACGTGAATTTTGCAGTTAGATTTGGTCCCTGCTTCCTAACAGGTCGTGTCACCAAAGGGCTCATGGAGGATGCTGGGGGTGTCATCACCCAGAAGCTGGGATTCACCATCCTCTGCCCAGGGACCAAGTCTCTGCTGTCCCGAGGTGGGGGAGGAGGAAGGGATGGACTGTGACTGAGTCAGTCTGGAGCCAGCCAGTTGAGAGATCAGCCCGCGATCGCACTGCCACACAACTGCCATGGGCTATGTGCCAGGCATGGTATCAAGCACTGTGCATGGTCCCCCTGAATATTTGCCCAAACAGCCCTGAGAGACATGGCTGTAGCCTAGGAAGCAAGGGCCCAGAGAAGCCCGGTGGCTGGCCGAGGGTCACAGAGCCTATACGGGCCAAGCTTGGAGAGACGTAGGGGTCTTTGAGTTGGGCCATTGCCCACCACTCTTCTACTGCCCTTCTGGGCATCTGTACCACCCCTGAAGACATAGGACAAGTGGCCATGTAATCCAAGGGCCCAAACTCACTTTATTTCTCCTGGAAAAGACCTGAATAATCAGGAGAAGAAATCCATTTTATAGAGATTCCAATCCCAAGGACAAGGCTGCATTGTGACTGTCACAGGTCCTAGCATGTTAGCTCTCATGGACTCCTCTTTCCCTAAAAATCTGTAACAAATATTTTTATGACTACATTCATGTGAAAACTAATATATTGGTATTATGTCTTCCAGCATTTTCTGCCTAAAAGATCTTTTCCTTTTTTTTTTTTTTTTTTTAGACAGGGTCTTGCTAAGCAGTTCAAGCTGACTCTGAACACACTATGTAGCCCAGGTTGGCTTCAAGTGAGGCAATTCTCCTGCCTCAGCATCCCAAGTACTGAGGCTACAGACTGCACCACCAAACCTGTTTTAAAAGAAATTAAAACATTCTCAGACTGAGAGTAGAGCTCAGTGGTAGAATATTGTCCAGGATATATGAGGCTAGGGTTCCATCCTCAGCACCCCAAAACAATCAAACAACAATAACAAAACCAAACACATTCTCATGGACTCCCAAAAGTACCTGGGCACTGGGCCTAGAATGCCTGGCACAAATGGGTTAACGAGGACTTTTCACAAAATTGATTGGTTATTGTTCAGCTGCCAGCCCGCCAGTGTGAAGGCCCAGAAATGCGCTGCCTGCATTCCAGCCAGAGACTTCTGAGCCTGTTCTTCCCGAAGCAGGCCAGAAAAGCACTGTCTGGTCTTGGGTAAGTCCTCCGGAGCCCTGGGGTTGCCTCTGTCTGCTCATCTGTCAGATGGGCAGGTCTGGCCCAGGCTGTAGCCTGTGGGTTATTTGAGTGAAGTCAGAAGAGCCGTGAGAATCGGATGGGAAGTCAAAACAGACTGTCAGTATGGTTCTCAGTATTTTCCTAGATTCTTCATTTCCAAACACGAAAACTGCTTTCCTTTGCAGCACTGAGCATTCACTCTGGAGCTGGCCCAACACTGAACAGAAACACCTCCTCTGAGCTTCCTGGCACAGCAGCTCTGGCTACGCAGGGCGCCACCTCTGAACCCTGGAACCCCAGTCTAGGAAATGGGACTAAAAACAGAACTTGTCAGTCCCGTCTCAGCACAGTGTGTGGCTTGGAAAAAGTACTAATCAACTGCAGCTGGATTATTATTACTCTTGTCATTATTCTTAGTCCCAAAGGAGGCGGCAAGCTGCAGAGTTATGAATTCACCCACGTGGACTGGGGAACATTTTACACAAACAGCCTCAGCTATCGACACACCTATCGAGCCTGATGGTGGGTGGCCCTGTCAACACCACCAAAGGCAGTTCGGGGTGGAGTCTGTGTCCAAACCCATATGTCCCCACCGCAGCAGCGTACCCAGTCTAGAAGCAGCAGCCCACCAACCTTTAGACAGTGCCCAGGTCTCAGGGATCCCCCAGCAGAGGATTAAAGTCTGGCTGAGCTGAGCTTTCCAAGGCCCCCTTGGCCTCCAGGCTAAGCAGCATCCAGCTTATCAGGGTGATCAGTGCTCTCTTCCTCCCCTAATCCAGCAACAGGCTATGTCCCCCCAAGTTAAGGTCTTCACTTTGCTTTCAGCAGACTTGCCCCCTCCAAATGCTAACCCCAAAGGAAGGTGAGAAGGAACACAGGCAGAAGCAGCCACCTACTTGGGTCTGTCTGGCTTTGCCAGCAAGGACGCCCATGATGGAGGAGTTCAGCTGGGGGCTGGGACACTCATCCTAGGCCTGGGGTCGACCCTGCACATGGAGACTTGGAGAGCCCTGGGTCAGCCAGGAGACCAGCTTCCCAGCCAGTGTGGCTGGGATGGCAGCTGAGCCACCAATTCGTTCTGCTTCTAGTCAGATTGAAGGGAGGTACAAGGAACTCTGCAGAAGTGTCCCTAAGGAGGCTAAGTGGGGACCAAAAGGCCATGGTTGCTAGGAAAAGCCTAGCTGTTGCCTGAAGAGATGCGGTTGCTAAGCAACCCTCTACATTACCAGGGCCCTCATGTCATCAGTCACCTACGCCTCTGTAAAGCTGGCTAAGAGCATCCTTCCCCAGACAGTGACAACCAGGCTTTGCCTGTCCAGGCTTACCCTCTGGCCTAGTCTGGGACATCCACAGCTTCACCACAGTAACCTTGCTCCTGGGACCAGGGACCAACAGTTCCCTGAGGTTAAAACTCTGGGCAAACCTTTGTGTGAAAGGAGTTGAAAACACACAATAGAAAAAGATGTCCTCTTTAATAAAGGATGATGGGAAAATTGGTTATTCATATATAGAAGACTGAGTTTAGACTCATATATCTTACCATACACTAAGCTAAAATTGAAATGGATCAAAGATCTAAATTTTAATGTAGAAATATTTAATCTGCTAGAAGATAAAATAGGTAAAACTCTGAGGACACAGGAAAATATTTCCAGAACAGAACCTCAATGGCACAAGAAATAGTACCAAGAATCAACAAATGGGATCATAGCAAATTAAAAAGCTGCTTCACAGCAAAAGAAATAACCAACACATGAAGAGAGTGTGTGGTTCTATACAATGGGGGAAAATTTTTGCCAGCTGTTCTTCAGGAAGAAGACTAATATCTAGAATATATAAAACACTTTTTAAAAATAGATCCCTTCAAAACAAAAGACAACCAAAAAATTGGCAGCAGAAGTACAAATGGCCGATAAATATAAGAAAAAAAGCTCAACATCACTGACCATTATAGAAATATAAATTAAAACAGCTCTAAGATTCTATCTTACTGCAGAAAAATTAGTCACCATTAAGAAATCAAATAATAATAAATGCTGGTGAGCTTCAGGGAAAATGGAATCTTTCTACATTGGTGGTAGAAATGTAAACTAGTACAATCACTATGAAAATCAGTATAGAAATTCCTGAAAATATTAAAAATAGAAATTCCGGGGGTGGTGGAGTGGTAAGCATCAGAGAAAGGGTCTCTTCGAGAATTACCATCCAGACACTGGAATCCAGCAAAGTAGGGAAGACAAGGAGGAAGGAAGGGGTCCCGGAGTCCAGGAAGAGTCTGAAGCGTGAATTGAACCCAGGGAAGGAGACAATGAAGAGACTACCCTCAGTGAAGGAGGAGA